ATTTGCTGTGCCGAATGGTAAGCGTCGGAGGGGTAGACCGAAGCGAAGGTGGGAAGATTGCATTAAAGCTGATCTGAAGGGACTGGGTTTGGACGGCGAACGGTGGAGGGAGGTGTGTAACAAGCGATTGGTGGTGTCGGCATCGAACCTTCGGGTTCGCTAAGCCTTATTATTATTATTATTATTATTATATTTAATTAATAAAGTAGTTAAAACAAATAAATTGGTTTTATTTATTTCATGTAACGTAAATAATTCATAACAACGAAAATCTTTAGGTGTGAATATCTCCTAAACAAAGCGTTTGCGAGCATACCTTCAGAGGAAATTTTTTTTTTGTTTTGAGGTCCTTGGATAATTTTTACAGTTTGGCTACTTAACCATGAAACACTCTGTATATGTACAGTGATGGAAAAAAGTATTTGCACAACACGTTTTTATGAATAAAGTAGTTCAAGGAAACAAAAAACTTCACTTTCCTTTGCAAAAATGAAAAGTACATTTGTTAAAAACTGAGAAAAACCTTTTGGAAAAAAATGACAACACTTCATAATCAAACAAAATAATTAAAACATTAAAAGTGCTTATAAAAAAGCATTTGCACACTTCCACATTTACATGTTTATTTTAAATTTTAATAGTTTTAATATTTTGTAAATAGGCCATTTACGTCAATAATTGCTTGTAGACATCTGTTCATTGAATGTACTAGGTTTTTAATTAAATCTACGTTTATTTGTTCCCATTCTTGAACAAGAAGTTATTTAAGGTGATGTCCACTAGTGATATGGTGTTTTCTTACATTTTGGTCAAGGGCATGCCATAAATTTTCAATGATATTTATATCTGGTGACTGAGGAGGAGTGTGGAACTGTCTCGGAACATTAAATATTAACCACTCCTTTGTTCTCCTCGCAGTATGGTTTGGATCGTTGTCCTGCTGGAAATAGTACTGATCCTGGATTCCCATTTTTTCGGCACTAACACGCAAATTACGTCGCAAAATTTTCATATAGCCTTCCTCATTTAAAATGCCTTTGATGCTCACAAGATTTCCCACGCCATGGTAGGAAACACACCCCCAAACCATAATATGTCCTCCACCTTGCTTTACAGTTGTTAAAACATTTTGTTTCTTTAGGGCTTCATTACGATGTCGCCATATCGTCCTTCGACCATCTGAACCAAACAACTTAAATTAGCTTTCGTCAGCTAATTTTCCCATTAATTAACATTTTCCCAAAAGCTTAAGGATTTCTGTACGTACTCCCTAGCAAAAGCAAGGCGCTTTTTGCATTTTGTTTCACTGATGTATGGCTTCTTTCTTGTAATTCTACCATGGAGCCCTTCAGAATTCAGGGCATATCTAATTGTTCTGCTAGTAATCTAAACTCCAGACGTTAATTGGACCATGGTAGCCAGCTCCCGAGAACTAATCAGAGGATTTTTAAGAGCTTCTTTTCCTCTTCAGCCTGGGAGTTAACTTTTTTGGACGCCCTTTACGCTCACTGTTTTCAGTTGAACCATGTTCTTCATACCTTTTTATGACGTATCTCACTGTAGAAAAATTCAACCCTAAGAAATCGGCAATTTGGCAATATTTTTTTTGCTGACTCCTCAGTAAAACAATTTTTTCGCGAGTTGGGCCACACAGTTCACTTATCTTTGGCATGATAATTGTCTATTGACTAAAGGAAACTGATTGAAAGACTAGAGAATACTGGTAATAAAGGATTAGAGATAAATTAGTAAACAAACCTATGACCTATGGACGCAGGAGGATTAATGCCAAAGTAAACAGAGCTTGCGAGTCCTAGTGTGCAAATACTTTTTTCCAAGCATTTATATTGTTTTATTTTTTTTGTTTCATTATGGGTTGTTGTCATTTTTTTCCAAAAGATTTTTCTCAGTTTTTTTAAGAGAGTCGTGTTTTTTGTTGAATAGGAAGCAATAACTTAAGAAATATTTAATTTAAGTAATTAGCAATTACTTCTCAGTAGACTAGACAAAATTTACTTTAAACAAAAGTAGAGCTTGTCATTGTTAAAACTATTTAATGGGGACTATTTTAATTTAATGAATTATATTAGTTAAAATATGTTGAAAAATTGATGGTGAAATTTTAAGGCCAAAAGACGATCTCTTCCTCTGGTAATAGCCATTCTGTGTAACAAATGCTGTCTTATGGTGTTATTTTTCTCTAACAGGTATAGAACAAAATGCAGAGCTAATAACAAAAACTAATAACAAAAAAACCGAATACCTCAATTCTTGGAAACGGTTGCGATTCTGGGATGAGAATTTTGTTCAGATCATGAAAATCAATGCATAACCTAGATCTTCTATTATCTTCTTTCTTGTATGCTAATATTACTGGTGCCGCGAATGGAGATTGAGATTCTTTTATCAATCCTGCTTCCAGTAATTCACTGATTTGATCTTCCATTTCTTGACTATCTGATATGGATCATCTTTAAGGCGTTTTTTATATGTATTTTTTTCCAAAAGTTTTATGTGAACTTCCTGCTTTTTTGCTTCGTCTACATCATATCTTTTATTTTTTCAAAAGAAAAAAATCTATGTTTTGCAAATATTGATAAATTTTTATCTATAACATGTGTTAGTTTCTTTTTTTTATTTTGATCTAAATGGTGCAATTTATCTAAAAAATATAAAGAATACTTGATGGTTTACCATGGCGTATTATTGAGTAAGAAGATGGTCCGGGGTGGCAATCATAAAAAGACTAAAATAGTAACAAACAATGTTATTTAAAGCCAACATTTTGACCCTACTCTGCAGGTCTTCTTCAGGGGGTTGTATACAGCAGGGAGTTTCAGTTTTCTGTCAGAGTTTCAGGGACTGTCATACATTTTATAAATTCCAGTAACCTTATGTTTGTTAACTGTGATATTTAATCAAATTAGTGGTGTACGTTTTTTTCCTCTTCTTGAACATTAACTTCATCAACCTCATGCAAATTCACATTTCATCTTCCCGAGTAACCTTTATTTCTACAAAGCTGAGGTGGGTGATAATGTCCTGGGTAACCCTTGGCTGACATATTTTACGCGGTTGTTTTCCATAAATGTTTTTCTCTCAGAAGAACCTGAACCACTCATATTTAAATCAGATGTTCTATTTTCATCTTTCTTTATCTTTGGATACACTTGAGAGTACTGCCGAAGTTTATTCATCAATTGTTCTGTTATTTGTATTTCTTCTTTATCAAGTCAATCTTGAATGTAAAATGGAAGGCCTACAACAATATGATTAATACTTGACTTATCAGACATAGTTGGTTCAGTTTGTAATAATAACCTCTCTTTTTTTTAGAGCATAATCTAACAATGGTCCATTTATGTATTTGAAATTATAAGCAAAATGTACACGACCCCAACTTTTTTTGCTGAAAGTCTCTAAAAATTATGCTCTCCATTCATTCATTTATCTTGTAGTATCAATTTGCAAAAAGTTGAGCTATACCACTCTGAAACATTATCTAATACAAAAAAAAAACGTAGTATTTCTATTTTATTTTCTTCATGTTTTATTCCGTACCTATCACATTATTTTGCAAAAATATTTAACCATTCTATAGCGTTCTCATTACCTTTAAATTTTTCTAAAACAAACTCTTTGTGAACATTTAAAATATTATTATTAGGTTCATTATCTATTTTATCTAACCTTTCACCAAGCCTTTCAGTTATCTTTATTACTTGTAATTGGCTTCCCTTGCATCATTATTTCATCTTTTGAAATAGGCGGTTGTTTCTTGTAATTCTTCTAAACAATTATTTAGAAAAACACAATACAAGTTTTCATCAAAATATAGAGGTACTATATTAGTGGTAGGGTAACTATAACATTATGATACTGACCTTTTTTAGTAAAAGATTTGCCAGCATTTTTAATGATATTTATTTTGAATAATTCAGAATGATGTTCCGAATCTTGTTATTTTCTAGGGGAAAAAATATGTTTCTAGCGGCATCAGTCTTATTGAGACAAATAAGACTGATCACCACTTTTCTTTGTTTTGTTTTCCAAGTGAATTCAAGCTTTTATTGGTTCCATCTTTCAACTTCAGGAAAAACCTATTTATAATGTGGTGATGGATTTCTTGAAAAAAACTTTAAACCATTTGATCTCTGAATAAAAATTTTATTTAACATTAATTACAAAAATTAATTAGTAGTAAATAATGCTTAACAATATCTACAATTTGTGAATTACCTGAAGAAAAATCGTTTTTTAAAGTTTGTTGTATAAATATAAATGATTAAAGTATACAGCTCTTTTAATAACAAGATAAATTAATCTAAACTTATAACCTCAAGTTTGTAATCTCACACCATGTGCTTAAATAACATATGTTAAATAAAACAATTGCTCTTATGATCTACCACCTTTCAAATTAAAAGTCAGCAATTCACTTTTACATACATACATACATATATATATATATATATATATATATATATATATATATATATATATATATATATTAACTTTTTAAAATGAAAAAAATCTAAAATATCTAATTTTTTTTGGAGGAACTACTCTTAGATCCTTCAGCACAGAAATACGCAAAAAAGACAATTAGGGATTACTGAGACTATAGGAAGGCTATGCCTGTGAAAATGAATCATCTGTTGAAAAAAAGTCTCTTCTCCTTATTTAATTACAACAGATGAGCTCCCTATATTAGTCACATTATGAAAGTTAATGCACATTTTTCATTACTAAAGTTTATTATAATAATTTTACATTAATGAAAAATTTTAGTTAAATGGTTGATTAATAAAATTTTATTATTTTGCAAAATCCAAACTTAAGATTGTAGAATAGATCTAATTGAATTAACTTTATTTTATTTAATATGTCTCATTATATTACCAAGCTAGTAAATTAACAAAATTAATTGCTTTATTATCAATTTTTCTTTGTATTGATTCTATCATACAAAATAACCATAATTTTTATCCTTTTTTCAGTGCAATTAGTGGTTATGAAGTAACAAAACTCCTGCCTAGCGAAGTTCACGAACCTAGTGCTTTTAAAACATCACTTGCTTTTAATCATCTTACATTCACTGCTGAAACTCATAATTTTCCTACTGGTGTGTCTCCATTCAGGTAATATTCAGGATATTTGTTGTGTATTTAATCATAAATTTGTATGTAATTTGATCTCTAAATACAGTTTTTTCATCTTTTCTTTTTAATCATACCACATTAAAAGTAATTTTATGACTTTTTTCTCCATAATTTCTACCATTTAATTGCTGTATCCGAAACCCGGTTGAAACCCACAATCCCGTCTTCTCAGATCCTTCTACCTAACTATACTCTCCTCCATCATGACAGAGTAGATCGTACGGGCGGTGGAGTAGGTATCTTTGTCCATGACAGCTTTAAATAAAAAATCCTTCATTGCTCTTCCTTAACTGATTCTCCACACATTGAATACCTCTTTGCCGAAATCCTCTCAACTTCATCTGCCATTCTGTTTGCTGTCGCCCTCCTAAAATTCCTTTTGATGAATCAGTTGAGACTTCTCTGTACAACTTAATCCCTTCCTACTCAAATGTCATTTAAGAGACTTTAAATACCAATTTGCTGATGCCATCCTCCAATTATTCTTACCTAACAAACCTCCTCCATTCTCTCAGCCTTCACATAGTACCCTACAACACAACCCATCATACTCAGATCTCGGAGTGCTGGCTTGATCTATTTATCCTAGATTCCACAGACAAACTCCTTGCTTCACTTCAGCACCCTGTCCCGTTTCTATCTTTCCACGACTTTATCCAGATTTCATATAATATCCCTGAACAATATCCTTCTGAAACCTAAATTCCTCACTCATGAAACACTGTCAAAAGATCTTGACGGTATCCATTGGGATCCCATTTACTCCTCAAAATCCATCGACACCATGGTAGAAACCCTTACCACTCATCTTCACTCTACCATCGACCGACATGCTCCTCTTATCACAAAAACCATCCGACGTCCTCCCACTCCTTGGCTTACTCCTGTTTTGAGAGAGTGTATGAGAGAAAGGGATGCTGCAATGCGGCGGTTTAAACGAACTCAACTTCATGAAGATTTTCTCTCCTTCGAAACAGCACTCGATCAGCAGTACGCCACTATCCATCCCTTACCCATTATCTACTATCCATCATTCCTTATCCAACTCTCCTAATTTCAAGGCCACATGGGCTATTCTTAGAAAACTGACCATTGGTAATACATCTCAGTCCCAGTCCATTTCCGTTTCTGGCGATAACCTCAATGCTCACTTTGTCTCCTGCCCTTTTGCAACCACATCTCCTGTGTCCAGTCCGGCTCCCATGTTTTCCTCTTTTAATCCTGATCACTTCTTTTTTTCCCACATTACCCCTGATGATCTCCTTAACTCCATCCAGAAGTCCCATACCAACAATTATGGTCCCATAATATCTCAGTCAGATTGATTAAAGCAGCACTGCGATCCATTCTTTCGATTCTTTATCATATCTATAATTACTTTCTTCAAAATGCTACCTTCCGTACATCCTTGAAAACCGCCCTAGTACTCCCCTTGAAGAAAACCTCTAACCCATCAGCTCTTAATGATTTCTGTCCAATTTCCCTTCTTTTAAATCTCTCCAAACCTTTAGAGTGGCTTTATGACTAGCCCAATCCTGGCTATCCCATTTTTTCAATCACAATAAGCTACTAAACCCCTACCAGTCCGGTTTCAGGCCTTGCTATTCCACGCAGTCTGTCCTAATCAAAATTTCCCAAGACCTTCATAGAGCCATAGATTAGCAGAAACTAACCATCCTTATTCCTCTTGACTTCTCCAAAGCTTTTGATTCAGTAGACCACAACATATAGATGTATTTCCAAGCCAAAATTTTTGAAAGTTTTTGAAAAGAAAACAAATTTAATCCTCCCTTTGTCAGAAAGAATTATTGCAGCTACTGCTTTCGTTAAAGAATTTCCTTTAGAAAACTAAAAGATTACGATCCTCCTTGGATAAGCAAACCACCAAAAACCATACTAAACTTATCACGACTACCGAAAAACAAAACCTCACCTTTTGAATATAAAACTAAATTCTCCCGCCTTCTTCACAAAATTCAAGAACCATTTTAAATCTATACCGACGGATCAAAATCGGAAGAATCCACAGCATCTTCATTTATAACACATAGCTCCACCCACAAAATAAAACTATATAAATTATGCAGTGTATATACAGCTAAACTTCGCCCAATAGCCTCACCTCTCCATTTCTCCATGTCGATAACTCCCAAAACAATACTAATAATAACAGACTCTTTGAGTTCTTTAAAAGGCATTAATAATATATATCCGAGATACCCGACTATTTTAAAAATCCACATATATTTAAACATGGTCGAAAATTTGAGGAAGTCGATATATTTTATCTGGGTGCCGGGCCAAGCTGGCATTGCTGGAAATGAGCTCACGGACGCGGCCAAACAAGCATTCACCCTTCCAGGTCAAGGCACAGCTATTTTAACCCCATGTGACACAAGCCTTCCCCTCAAAAATGAAATAGCTCTTAGCTGGCAATCCATGTGGAATGAGAGCTCTCCAAGCAAATTGAAAGATATAAAAAAATCAGTAAAATCATGGTCTACCTTGAACCGCCCTATTCATAGAGAGGAGGTTGCCTTGGTGAGACTAAGGATAGGACATATGAACCTTACACATTCTTATCTGATAAGTAAGCAGCCAACACCAAAATTCCAACACTGCTGCAGCATTCTCACAGTCAGCCACATTTTTCATGAGTCCCCCTATTACTGATCAATCTTAGCAAAATTAGGACTCATACCAAAGCTATAAGATATTTTAAATAATGATGAAGTTAAAGTAAGGTCGGTGATAAATTTTCTTAAAGTCAATGATTTGTTAAACAAAATCTAATTTTTTTATTTATTTTCCTTTTTAAAAATAATTTAGTATTGAGGAAATAGAAACAAAGAGTAGATAGGCGTTGATGACCTCAGGGTTTTACACTTATAAGCCCTAAACAACAACAAGTAGACCACAACATCTTCCTAACCAAACTTAAAAATATCTCCTTTTCCTCTAGTGCCTTTAATTGGTTCCAATCCTTCCTTACCGGTCGCTCCCAGTATTTGTAATCCCTAATAAACCCCCATCAGAATCTCTACCCTTATCCAGAGGTGTCCAACAAGGCTCTTCTTTATCCCCCCTCATTTTTCCCATCTATGTAAACGACCTCCTATCCTCTATCCTGCACTGTCAATATCACCTGTATGCCAACGTTGTTCAGATTTACCTCTTCTTCAATTCGACTGATTCCTCAGATGCCACTCTAAAACTCTAAGAAGATATTAATAGAATAATTGCTTGGGCAAACCTCAACAGGCTCACTCTGAACGCCGAGAAAACGAAAGCCATCTTGATCGGATCCCCTTAACTCCTCAAATCCTTCATGGTTTCCCTCAATCTTCTCCTGAACAACTCACCTATCTTATTCCATCATACTGTTAAAAACCTAGGTGTTACTTTTGGTCAAACCCTCTCCTGAAAACCACACATCTCCCAAATTCCCCATCGCACTATCTCCACCCTAAAACAGTTCAATTGTCTATGTTATTTCCGTTCATTTAAGTCCTGTCAACTCCTAGTTTCCTCTCTTGTTTTCCCCCACTTCGACTATGGCTGTATGGTGTACGGTGGACTCTCGGAGATTTTGAGGCCAAACTTAAACGCCTAATGAATTAGGCATTACGTTTTGTTTTCCGAATCTTGTGAGATACACATATTATCCAGTATTACACCGAGTTGAAGTGGCACTATCCATCCTATCGTCTTCAGTACTTCCTAGCTACCTTTCTGTACCAGATCATTAAAACTCATCGACCCTTCTATATTTTTCACAGCTTACAATTTATATATTCCATCCAATCCCGTCCTTCTAGATCTCGTACTTCCAACCTCTATCCTCTCCTATCCGCTCCTCACCGAACTGCTGCGTTTGACAAACCATTTGCAATTCAAGCTGTCTCCCTCTGGAATTCCATCCCTGTTGATATTTGACACGCACAATCAGTTTCCTCTTTCAAACCTCTCCTCTTTAAACACCAACTCCTTTCTCAATCCGCCTGATTACGAAATATACCTAAGAGAGCTATCTAAGTATCCCCAGAAAATATTTCTGTTATTTTAGTTTTCTTTGTTTGTCTTATATATATGTACGCTTTTCTTGTTTTTTTCTCTCTCTTTAACTGTATTTTTACTTTTAATTAATTATTATTTTAAATATATACTTTATTTATGACCACACATACATGTATTCTGTACTTATAATTTGTTATAAAGGGACAACAGTCCCATTATAATAAAATATATTTTCATTTCATATGTCAGTTTGCTTACACCAGCTGTGGCAGGGGTGTCCTGAAGTACGCACACAAGCGCCTTGCGTTAAGACATTATAAGTCACTGTAAGTTTCCACTAATAACCAATGGCTTTCACTCTCGTTTTTCTTTTGATTGAACTAGAAAGGTAGTGCATGCCACAAATGCTCTTTATTTGGCTTGAAATTCAACATATTTACCAGATAAAAAGTCTCCCAAAATTGCTTTAATTCCTGCTGTAAGGAAAGGCTGGTCTGCATGAAAAGAGTACGTACTGAAGGTGTAGGGCTTTCTGAGTGTGTTTTTCCAAATAATACCCATCCTAATGAGGTATGAATAGCCTTTGGTTGACCCTTCAGAAAAAAAACAGGGTAACTTAAAACCTCTCCATACATCTCAGCACCCAGAAGTAGATCAACTTTACCTGCCATATGGAATTCAATCGAAGGAAATCCATTCTGTATTTCTTGGGACATGCCAAAAGAAGGCTAACTTCCACTGATGCAAGGCAACACTCTGGCTGAAAACTCGTCTTGTATATATATTTTTGTTTCTCATCGAACCCAACTTCACTTTAACCTCAGCTGAAGATGAATATATGAAGGTATTACCTACTCCAGACACCGCAAGAGGACTAACCTGGGAATGAAGGCATAACTTTTTCATTACATCAGTGACAATTAAATTAATTTGGGGACCTGGATCTATCACCATTCTGCATGAATACCACTGACCTGAACTTGGGTGCGTTTTAAATACAAAATCCTGTTATTATTTTTTTTTTTTCAATATCCACTGAGCTTATCTTTTTTGGAAATTCTTGCTAAAACAGATCTATTCTGTTTTGTTATTTGTTTCTTTTAAGAATTAATATTCAACATATAATCATACAAATATTTCATTTAAATTGTATTGTGTGGTTATTATATAACATATATGACAATTTATGAATGAACCCAACATTTTGCACGCTAATTGCTGAGTAGGAATGACAAATAATGAAACATGAACATACATACAAAGATAATTATTACAGAAGATGCAGACAGGCTGTGAACATCAAACTTTTACAGCACAATGTTAATAACAGCACTAGCACAATCACTTCGATTCAGTTGATTAAATTTACAAATCATTATTTATACTTATAAAATAAATTAAAGATGTAATTAACTCAAACTTTAAAAAACAAGAGCAAAACCTTTGTAATATCTGGTGATCAGACTTGGAAACATTAGTTAGTAACTTCAGTCAAATAAAATATAACACATGTGATGGAGTTAGGGAATTAACAATAACTTTGATTCATAGAAATAGAGATCCAACAATAGAATCATAGTCCCAACGCCCATCTATAAAACATCAGATTTTCTCCCTTTGTCAATCATTAATTATCGTCAATGACTTTTGTCTTTTTTTAGAAGTTATTAATAATTTTGTATTAAGCAGTGCTAATTGCTGATTATCAGTGTTGAAAATTTCTTAAATGAGTTCCTCACAAAAATGTTTGTTAAAAATTTCTATAGTTGAAAAATATTTCCAATACATCTAAACTATAGCATTGATTGTAAAATGTTGTATTTTTATTGTTGATTAAATTTTAGATTATTCTCCACTCTTACAGCCCTCTAAAATACTCTCAAATACATAGAATTAAGTTTATACCTCCACAACTTTTAACACATCTCAGTGCAGTTTGCATTAATAAGCAGAACACTTACTTATACCACATACTATAGATTAGTAATAAATCAGTTCCTCAATGATCAATAAAATTACAATAACAGTGGAGCCACAACTGGAACTGGTGGGCGTATCCGTGATGTACAAGCAGTTGGAAGAGGAGGATATTGCATTGCAGGAACAGCTGGGTATTCTGTTGGAAATCTTTTGATACCAGGTAAGTTTATCATTTTATAATTCATGCTACTTTTAGATTTTTGAAAATTGTTGTGCATATAGTATTACTCAAATTTAATTTGAAGGTTATGAACAACCTTGGGAAAATTCCAATTACATTTATCCTGCTAATATTGAGAAACCATTAAAAATATTAATAGAAGCTAGCAATGGAGCGTCTGATTATGGTAATAAATTTGGTGAACCATTAATTGCTGGTTTTACTAGAAGTTTCGGTCTTGAAGATCATTCTGGTGAAAGAAGAGAGTGGATAAAGCCTATTATGTTTAGTGCTGGAATTGGTGTGATGAACGCTGATCAAGTGACCAAAATGACCCCGGAAAGAGGTAATCTTTTTATATTTCAGAAATTGTATATTTTATTAGATAGTTTTTTTGTTGGTATCACTTATTAAAAATAAATCATTCTGAGCTCACTTATTTAAGATAATTTAGTTATAGATATTCCTTGGAAGGGGTGGGAGAGGGGAGAGAGTGCAGTTAGTAGATGATAGTAAATGATGATGAAGGTAAAAATGGTTTAGTAAATTAATGTTGAACAGTTAAAAGGCAAGCTAATCTAGTTTTGTTAATGTGAGGGGATCTTTAAATTTGAAAAATAGTTTCACTAATTCAGATAAAAGAAAATGGCTGCTCTGTAGTTTCATCAGGAAGGAAGATCACAAAGAGGAGAGGGAACAAAGGATTTTTGTTTTGGCAAGGGGGTTTTTGTATGGCTGGACTATTGACTGTTTGGAATTACAAGAGAGAGGATCTCCCAGGGAGTTTGAGTTGAGTAGATGAAAGTATTACCATTATGGAAGGTGTGTTTGGTAGAACTTCGGAAAATGTTTGAAGGCAGATGAATTCATTGCCACAAATGAAGAAACAGTATATATATAAAAAAGGTTAGCTTTCCAATTCAAATCAAACAGTGTGTAGTGTAGTTAATGTTAGTCTCTCTGAGTCTTTTATCCATACCTTGAGATAAAATAATTATAATGTTCAATTTAATATATTAATATTCTTATAATTTTGTTTTTATTTAACAACCTCCTATTTCTTTTGGAAGCATCCCAACATTAGTAATCTTCAGAGGTTATATTACTAGTTTAAAATATAAGAGATATCACAATATATATATATATATATATATATATATATATATATATATATATATATATATATATATATATATATATACACATATGTATATAAATTTGTTTCAGCAAAAAGACTACAATTAACTGTTGCAAAACTTTTATTTATTGTTTTTTCATGTTATGGCTTGTATTGTGATTAAATAATTGCCTTAAAACACATTTTATTTATAAAAATAGAAAATTTAAAAATGATGATTTTTCACGTAAGGTAGTTATGAAATTGTGGCACCCCTCATCCATATATTCCTTTAAAGAACATCTATTCCTTCACCTTCTTCTTATTCAAACTACTGTAACACTGTAAACAATATTTATTTATCTGAAAACAATTACTAATAACAAATAATAAGCAAGTGGGTACTTGCAATATGGTTTTATAAAATATTTTTGTAAATATCTTGCCAGTCAAATGTGGAAAATGTCTGAACATTATATGTTTATTTTTACAGGTATGCAAGTAGTAAAAGTAGGAGGTCCAGTTTACCGCATTGGAGTGGGTGGTGGTTCAGCCAGCTCAGTTCAAGTAACTCATTTCATAATATTTGGTTGTATTAATTTTCAATTAGTGTTGAAATTCATTGATCTTTTACAATTTTTGTTTTAATATATGATGACAAAAAGTGATTTAACAGATTATCTAATATAATAATGAAATTTAAATTTAGTAGATGGTCTGGGAAAGAACAAAGTTTGAAATTTGTCATACCGATGGTTTGGAAAGAATCCAAAAAAACACATCGATGACTGTTATTTCTATAATCAATCGAAACAACTGTAGCAAGTAGAATTATCTTGATTTAGTCTCTGTATGACACCTGGTCCCTTACTCAGAGGAAGTACTGTGTTATATTGCTATCCATCTATTTCTTTGATTGAACTTGAACTAAATATTAATTTGTAGATATTACTTAAAATTGCTTTTCCTTTCCAAAGATTATCGTGTTTATAGAGAGGAGTAGGAGGTAGAATTAATGAGGCAAGAGGAGTGAATATGAATGAACTTCAAAATTATATAACACTATATTTACCTTTACAAATAATTTAATATTGTGCTGATTTGTTTCACTACCTTATTCATTGTTACTTAAAATAAACATAAAACATTGGGAGGGCAGAAATGATTCACAATCTTCTTTCTATATCTTGATCACACACTAGCTAGTCTCATCACAATGACGCTTAACCTTCACCAAGATGGTAGGCTCCCTTTCTTCCCAACCTTTGGATACCCCCACTCCACTTCAGATGCTGACTTAATCATTCCACATATAGCAACTGATTCCAGCTTGTTTTTCACTGGCTTCAATATGATGTGGCCACACCAAATATCCTTGTTTCTTATGCCTCTGTGATAGCAAAGACAAAACACACCACTGGGTTAGACAAGAGTGGCCTAAGAGAGAAGACATGGCCATTGAAGAAAATATCATTATTGACGAATCCTTAGCTGAGTAAGAGGAAATCATCTTTCCTCCACTGCATATCAAGCTGGACCTTTTAAAGCAATTTATAAAGGCTCTTGATAAGTCCCAATCATGTTTGCTTGTATAGGAGAAATAATATCTCACTTGAGTTATGAAAAAATTAAAGCATGAATATTTAATGGTCCAGAAATAAGAATATATTAAGGACTACACCCACCTTTGTAAATTCCATGAATGAAGCTGAGCGATAAGCACTGACTTCATTTATCGTAGTTATCGGAATGTCAGCAAATCCAATAAAATATTATAATATATAGTATTATATATTGACTGTACCCCCCGAACAAGTCCTCTAATAAATTTAAGCAAAATTAAATAGTGGGAAAGAAGGGAAAATAAGTTAATGAGAATGACACCTGCAAAACATGAAAAATGCATACACAATAAAATATTAAAAAATTGAAATATTCAATTAGTAAAAATGGAAAATAAATATAAATCCACCTTTTTTAATGTTTACAATATTTATTATGGTGGAAAAAAGATATATACAAATGTTGAAAACAAAACAAAATGAAAGAAGAGTATTAAAATGCACTGAAATAAAATGAAACATAACCAATAACATAACCCAAACAATAATTTTGTACTTCTGCAAAACTTTTCCCATACCAGATGCTTTGGAAATGTTGCATGTCGGAGTTTCAATGAATTGCATGTTCAGAGGCAATTTCAAAGCAGAATGAACAGTTCTTCCTTCTGGTAACAATGTTGCAGCTATTTCGGATGAAGCAAGAGCTAAGGCTATCTCATTTTGGGATCATATTGTTGCAAAAATCAATCTAATTAAGAATGTTTTACCAGTTCCTCCTGTTGCATCCAAGAAGAATATTTTTCGAACACATCTATTAACAGTTTGCATTATTTCATCATAAATGCCTCTTTTCTCAAGAGTTAGCTTAGGAATATTTGATTCCACATATGACAAATGATTATAGGTGTTGTAATTGTGTTCACGATGAAATTCTACATCTAACGAAGCAACAGCAGATCGATTCGATGATGGCATTCTTAATTGAGTGAGCAATTTGTTCGCGATTTCTATGTACAAATGAACAATTCTCGAATAAATTTAGAGCCTGACATGCACTGTGGAAAGTGGCATGTGTAACGCAGTTAATGATTCTTAATTGGTACAAGGAAGTTGGACTGTGCACATTTACCAACAGCATACAAAGAAAGAAGCATTCGCTTTGTTTAGGAGAAACGGTGTTCAGTCTGCTTATTGTAGTTTTTTTCAATATTCCAGATTTTCTGTTGACTCGCTCTCCTCATTTTCGTCATTCAAATAATTTTCTACTTGCATTCCATATGTAATATGAAGGCACTTCCGAATACAGCAGTTTTTTTTTTCTAAAATGAGTCATTTTGAAGAAATAACCTGAAGAAAGCTGTTAAAGTTGTATCTGGTGGGTTCAGGACTATCTGTTACACATTTGCATCTGTGAAATATACCCGCTGTCCATTTTCGAAATGTACCAATAAGTGAACAACAGCTGGACTACCTTCATGTATGGGAAATGAAATAATTCGCCACACTGCTTCATTACTACCTATGTATCTTCCAGCCTGATATTATTGCAGAATCCTTATCACTTGCTTCTGGTTGCATGCCAAAAACTGCCATATCGCTGCCTTTATTCACATACTTGAAAATGTATTTTATTGACTTAAAGGAGTTGCAGTATTCGACATTAATGTGTGCTTTATATGTTTTTGACAGCAAAACTGAATATGGAACAACCCAACGGTTATCCACTTCGATGTCACTGTTACACATTTGTATGATGGCTAATTTACTTCCTTCTTCTGTTGATCTTCATCTATAAAAAGGACAGCCATAGTTTCCTGTTACAGTGTTGGATACTAATGGTCGAGGATAACACTTAGAGCGTTTTCCGTTTATCATATATGGTGAATTTGGATTCAGTGTACCTCAAGATCCATGTATCATGTTGGATGATACACCTTTTAACAACTTCATGCAAATCCTTATCGACGTCAGAATCCAGTATTTCAGCACATATTACATTTAGAGCACATATTACATTACACATATTACACTTAGAGCGTTTTCCGTCCATCATATATGATGAATTTGGATTCAGTGTACCTCAAGATCCATGTATCATGTTGGATGATACACCTTTTAACAACTTCATGCAAATCCTTATCGACATCAGAATCCAGTATTTCAGCACATATTACATCTTCGATTTCTTTTAAAGTAATTTTTTCAAACAGCCAGATTAGTATATGTGCATGTGGCAATCCTCTCTTGCCATTCCACTGAGTACATCCAGCAGCGCACTGACCCAAACACTTCAGGTTTTACCATTAAAGCCATAAAGATTTTAGCTTCTGTCTGAAAACACATACTGTGATATCATGCCTATCCACTACAGATTGTCCTGGAAGAAGAAGCTGTTGTGTATGAACCCAAGCTGGATTGCATGTGAATGTTATAAATAGATCTGGACACCCGTAGACACTAACATATGCATGCATATGACGTGGACTACCTGTATATGAAGATGGCAAAATCGTTAGCCTTCCAATGTTAGTTGTATTACCGTCATTTATAACTGCATCTCGCAAATGAACCTATTCTTCGGAGCAAAGCTTGTTCTGATTTAAACGGATGAATAGCAAACATTCTATCATTTTCTTGAATCATTAATCGGTATGAATAACATTTCATTGCGCTACATTTCTTGATAGTTTCTTCCCCACTGACTGGAATTATCATCTTAATGTTAAAATTATATTCATCGGCACCACCCCAAAACATTATTGGATATTGGAGGACATTGTAGCTTCGATGAGTTTCTGCAGCTCTTGTCAACTGATCGTTTCTGCGGTGAAGAACAATATCTCTGGGTTGGAATTGATCTCCGATGATAACAATTGCCACTTTATCCATATTTGGAGCATTGAATGTTCGCACTTGTTCTCTAGCAGGCGTTTTGTCAGAATAAATAACAATCTTGTGTGTATGACCAATCTGTTTTGAATAAACGCACTAAATTGTTTTTTTCATGAAGAAGATCTTGGAATTGGAAAATGATGGACCTTTTTACTCGTGTACAAATTGTGCAGCGTGTATTTAGTTCAATCATTGTCATCACCTATAAAATAGATTTGTAAAAATGTATGTTGACTATCTGGAAATGGAAGCAGGGAACCAGCTTTATGATAAATTTATCCTTTCACTTTGAAAGTTGGCATAAATTGAGTCGTTACGATTTCTGAGCAGAATGATGTCATTTGAAAACATGAGTTATACTTTCTGATTTTGGATAAAAAATGCTTTGATTTGGTAGTTTTTCCAGCAAGAGTTTTTAATGGCTGTGGCGGTTCTCTAAATTGAGGCAGTTTAATTTTTCCTTCAGAATAACACATTATTTTCGTTTCTCCTTTAAATTTGAGAGCCTTGCAATAAGGACACACTTCAATCATAGTGCCGATGAGAACAGGGTGGCTCAAACTATAATCATCAGCTGAGTTATACCGAAATGCAAGACGATGATAATCATGTGATTGTTAAGCACAGCTCCTTGTTCGAGGCTGCTACTTCTTGTTGACGTCTTTCAGCCATTCTCATCTTGTCGCGTTCATTCTGTTGAGAACGTAGTAGGTCTGAAGCTACAGAACGAGATCTCCTTGCCTGCAATCGCACATCCTCAAGCCTGGCAGCACGTTGCTCTGATGGTTCTTCAGCACATATTTGAACCATTCTTCTTCTGCTTCCTTCGGATGTTGATGCCTGTATTTCCTGAGTTTGATTTGCCCATAATCTTTGTATTGCTTCGGCTCTGCGAGTACGATGACCCAAGTTTGATCTTCTGCGAGGTTAATATGTTCTATTATGTATAGGGTATTATGTTGAATTAAATCAGATTGAATGCAGTGAAAAAGAAGAGAAAACATAATAACATAATATTTATAATAAATAGACGCCATGTTTTTTTTTTTTTTTTTTTTTTTTTTTATCATTTTGTATGAAATTAAGGAAGCTTTCAAATAATGATAGGTATAATCAAATAAAAATTGTATACTTTTTGAGTTATTCGCAAATATAGTTGTGAACCCATTGTAACTTTTTTTTCATACCCTTTTCGGGGAAGGATGTTATATACATAAATTAAAAGGGCTTCAAGGAGAAGACTTTAGCCAAGTTTAATTAAAATTGTTACAGGCTCTAGAGTCTGTTAATATAGACTTTTTTTTTTTTAGGTCCATGGAGATAATAAATGTGAATTAGATTTTAATGCTGTGCAAAGAGGAGATGCTGAAATGGAAAACAAAATGAATCGAGTCATAAGAGCTTGTCTTGAAGCAGCAAAAAACCCTATTTGTAGTATTCATGATCAAGGAGCTGGAGGAAATGGTAAATAATGCTTTGGTATAGTTTTTTATTTATTTAATTTTATTTTTTAATAATGCTTTATTTTAATTTCTAGATCCAGGGATGATAGCATATTGTTTTAAATAAAAAACATTGTAATTTTTAAGTAGGCATTAAATTATATTGTTATTTTAAGTAGCTCTGTTAACTCTTCATTTAGATCTCTCTTTGATAAAAAAAAGTTTTTAGTGACATATTTTATTGTACTTATACAAAGCGGGACAGACCATAATGAAGACATCACAGTGAAAATCTGTATTTATTATTATGAGAGCAGGAGCTTAACCGAGTCCTCTAGGCTCTTCTAAGGCAGTTATGTGAACTATTATTTTGGGTCTAAACTCTTTATTTTGTATTAGGAGAGTAGGGCACTTAAAGGAGTTCAATACATATGTAATTAAATTAACAGTTATATGATTTGTTAAATGGGGGTTGGTTTGCTGTTAGGTGGACAGGGGGTATCCCCCTAGTTTGTTTACAAATAATAACACAATGAAATGCACAAATATGAATAATATTAACAAAATGAATTGTTAATATTAAGGATTTTCATCAGTTTAGGCTTAATGGCCACACTGATTTCTTGACTTAATCCTGAGGGCCGGGAACTGGCTAGCTGATACCCATAAAATACTTTTAATTACAGTTGAAACGTTGGGTTTCATTATTTGTCAGTTATTTTATTTCTTAATTGGTCACTTAATAGAAACAAGGATTTCTCATCATGATTGACCAAGAGCTTTCTTTCATTTTTTATGGCTAACCTGGTGATTTATTCATTATGTAATATTTAAGTTGTCTACCAGTATGGAAAATCAAAAATATATCAGGAATTGTGTACAGTTAAGAAAAGTCAGAAATAAACCGGAAATTTCCAGTAATTTGCACAAAATTCTGCCATTATCATTAGTTCTAAAGATTGCGCCGGCATCTGGAAGGGAGGGAGGTCAAGGAACTTTCTGCCCCTCTAATATTTTGTGGTCATTTGTTTAGAAAAAAATCACAAAAAGTTCAATAAATTGTATAGGTAATAATTACATAATACTACGGGTAATAAACTGATTACAGAGCTGTTCCTTTATGGCATCATATCCCCTTCCCCCCTCCCAACCATTATTTACTGAGTGCCTGCTCCTATGTTTCTAAACTTTTATATTTTACTTTAATTGTCATGAATGATGAGGAGTAGATAATTTTGGTTATTTATATTTTATTCTAATTTTAGCTGATTGTTGCAATAGTAATTGAAGGATAAAGGTGATTATTGCAATTTTAGGAAAAAATGAATTGTTGCTAATATACTTGATCCTTTAATCAGACCTTCTTTCATTCATTGGAAATATTTACTTCTACTCACTATTTTTTATTGATCTTGTTAGGTTCAGAAACTCTCTAGAAAACAATTTATGTTCCTTTTTCCTTTTTATTGACTAATAAGTTTTAAACTGTAATATTTACTTCTTCTTTTTTTTTTTTTCCAGTTTTAACAGTTCCGTCGTTATAAAACTTGACATTGTACACTGATAAAGTGTATAAATCAAAAATATTAATCATTAACATAAGATATTATAATGGAAATTTTAAACTGTTTCGAGACAAGTGTTGTAATCTTTATTTTTACATGGTTTCAATGAAGAATATATACTTAAATATGTATTTTTAATAAAGTACAAAATTTATTTTTTGTTGTACTATACAGCCTGGTTGTACTGTACAGAGGGGCATCTCGCATCTCTTACATGTGTAAATTGTTTGAATTTTGATGAAGTTATTTTTGTCCTGAGCAAATTTTTTTTTAAACAACAATCGTAGGTAAAAATATCAGCAATAGATCTTATATTTGTTTTGGAGTATAGAAACGTTGTTACTCCTCTGTTTTATTTGAATCAGTGTTCTCAGCCACTTTGATGAAAGTGTCTTTTCGTTTTTCCTGGTATTGATTCATTCAGGTATAGTGAAAAATGTAAATCATTCCAAGAATCCCACCATTTTTTAATGAAACTCTGTCGCAGTGTGTTTTTATAGTTTCTGAATCAAACTATAGCCATACATATTTTGATTAATTTTTTTATCATAAAATAATTGCTTTGATAAATATTTTATTTTTATTATATACATACATAGTTGACGCAACAACCCATTAATGGATCTAGGCCTTCTCCAAAAGTCTCCACCTGTTACCTCAGTCTGTTGCTGCAGCTCTCCAGTTCCTTGCGCCAAGGAGATTGTGTGCGTTCGCTGTGACAGAGTCTGCCCACCTCTCATTTGGCATACCCACTCTTCGCTTGCCATGAAGCTCTTCAGCCAATGTCCTCTTAGGGATCTCGTCCTCCTTCATCCTTGGCACGTGGCTTGCCCATCAGAGTCTCTCAATCTTGATCCACTTGATGATATCAGAATATCTGTACATCCTTGAAAATTCCTGGTTCTTCCTCCTTTCACAGGTGTGTCCCGCTCGAACTGGGCCGAAAATTCTTCTCAATATCTTTTGTTCAAAAACCAGAAGGAAGTTCTCACTGGCTCTATTGAAGGCCCTGGTCTCTGACCCATAAGTAAGAACCGGACGAATCAGGGTCTTATACAGGCCGATCTTGGTCTTGTTGGTATAGTATCTGTTCTTGAAGTAATTTCCTAGCCCAACATAGCTTTGATTGGCTGCAGCAATGCTCTGGTTGATCTCCTGGGATAGGTTATTTTGAGTGTTCATTTCTAAACCCAGGTATACGAAACTTTGCACCCTCTCAAATCTGTATGGTCCAACTTCGAAAAAACCTGTCCCTACCTCTGATGGCCCTATTCTTAAATACTTTGTCTTGGCTTCGTTGATGATCAAGCCAAGAATTTTTGCTTCTTGTTCTAGCTTTTATAAAATAAATATTTTAATAATTCTTCAGAATTTTCTTCTGCCCATTCTGCGGTCGCATGGAAGAAGCTTCTAGAGTTTTCCTCCTTGAACCTCATATTTTCACTCTTCAGCTTCTTTGACCGAAGCCATTTTTTCGATTTATTTGCATTCAGTCCATAAATCAGAGATTAAATCGATTACTTCACATATAATTCTTCTATTCCTTCTCATAGAATAGAAAACAGATTTCATGGTTTACACATGAGTGAGACATTAAATGATGAACAGTACAGTGAAACCATAGAAGTAAATAAAAATATGTATACATGGGTGATTCATTCTGGATGATTCAATAAAGATTTTCTCTAAAAGTGATAATGTAAACCTGCCTTGCGAAAAGGTCTACTGGATCAAAGAGTTTTCTTGATTCATCATTGTGATGGTGTGCACATTTTCAGAAAATTCCCTTATTTACTGGTTTATACTTCATTTGATCTTTCTTCTTAACAATAAAACACTTATTGCTACTATCATCTATCACAACAATTACATTAATCATAAGTAATATGACTTTTAAACTAGAGATAATATCAAACAGGTTGTTTACTCAACAACACGACTCCTATTATTAATGACATTTGTAAGTTTTGGTAATGCTATGGATAATTTTTTGTCTGGATTTTAAAATGATGATTTATTGTTAGTTGTAAACATTAAAATTATTAATTACTGTTTGAAGATTATGAAATAATACAGGTTTATGTCATTATAGGTAATGTTTTGAAGGAATTGGTTGAGCCTATGGGTGCTGTTGTATTTTGCAATGCATTTACTCTTGGTGATGACAGTATTAGCACTTTAGAGCTGTGGGGGGCAGAATATCAAGAAAGTAATGCCATTCTTTTAAAGCCTGAAGATGAAACAATCTTATTGAAACTTTCACGTAGAGAAAGATGCCCAATTGATATTGTGGGTGTTGTGACAGGAACTGGAAAGGTAAATAAGTTGAATGAAAGGAAGTTACCAATGGACTATTTTCAGAAACCATTGACATAGCAAGAAATATCCTCTAGGACCTGGACAGAAAATATGCAATGTAATTATTTAATTAGGAGAATAATAATATGTTATCTCCCTGTGTTTTAGAATATTTTATTTTTCAATATCATATAATTTTTATTAGAATATTCAAGGACCCAGTTGATTCAATGTATTAGATGGATTTATTTTCTTAAGGCTCATGCTTTTCAAGTTAATCAGACTGAAGGTGAGGACTTAAAGGACCATGTTGTGAATTATCTGTGTCCTGATTAGGACAAGAGGATAAGACTTGTGTATACTACCACACTTAAAGATCAAAGCTTGAATTTTTTTGAAAATAAAAAAACATCAATGAAATTGTATTTAAATGTCAAAAGATATGAAATATATGCACTGATTAAGTTAGTTTCAACCAATAAAGCTTTGATGTCGGAGCTGAAGAAGAGTCCATCTGGTATGGAGTTTAGATATATAGCTGTCATAATGCAAACATTATATTTAAAACTCATTTCATGCATCTATGTATGAGTTTATTTCAAATTGTTGATTTGTCTATATCTACAGCATAAATTTATTTATATTATATCACAGGGAGACCACATCTTTTTATTCTTCTAATCTAGTTTCCTGTTACACAAAAGCCATTACTTTCTCTTACCTCTTACCTTTACATCTGAGTCCACCAAATAACCACGTTTTGCTAAATGCTCTGTGTACTTGCTCGTGTACTAAACATTTTTCTTAAAAATAGCTCTTAGCAATTCTGATTTAACTAAGTGCAGGGCACTTTATATAATTTTATTTATACATGTTTACACTTTTCCAAAAATGGCACTAACAATTTTGTTAAACTTTTTATATCAATGTTTCATTCGGGTTTAAAACAGGGGGATTCCCTTTCACCTGTCCTGTTCAATCTGGCATTAGAACATGTCATTAGGGAGGTAATGCGTACCGAGAAAGGGTTGGATCTGGGTGGGACAACACCCGTGCTGGGCTATGCTGATGATCTGATACTGTTAAGGGAAGAGGTTGAAACTATAAAACTAAATACGACAACGTTAATGAAAGCCGGTAAAGAACTAGGACTCGAAATAAACGTGGATAAAACAAAATATATGGTTAGCTGCAAAAATGGTGATACTACTGGTGATATCGATATAGATGGTAATATGTTTGAACAGGTAGATAAATTTAGGTATCTAGGTTCTACGATAACTAGAAAAAACGAAATTGAAGAAGAGATTAAGGTTAGAGTGAAGGTGGGAAATGCTTGTTATTTTTCTGTGACAAAACTACTTAGTTCGCGCCTCTTGTCCCGGAACTTAAAAATTAGAATCTATAAAACAATTATCTTGCCACAGTTCTTTATGGATGCGAAACCTGGCCGCTTACATTAAGGGATGAGCAGCGTCTCAAGGTTTTTGAAAATAAATTATTGCGTAGAATATTCGGACCGAAGAAGGATGATTTAACCTGAGAGTTCAGACGGTTACACAACGCCGAATTGCGTGAACTGTATCTGGGTAATATAATTGAGGTAATTTCATCGCGGCGAATCAAATGGGCTTGTAAAGTTGTTGGACTTATTAACGAGAGAATTCCTAAAAAGTTAATATTTGCTGTGCCGAATGGTAAGCGTCTGCGGGGTAGACCGAAGCGAAGGTGGGAAGACTGCATTAAAGCTGATCTGAAGGGATTGGGTTTGGACGGCGAACGGTGGAGGGAGGTGTGTAATAAGCGATTGGTGCTGTCGGCATCGAACCTTCGGGTTCGCTAAGCCTTTTATTATTATTATTATTATTTTATATCAATGTGAAATCAAGTGTTTTTTAATATCAGGTAGGCTCTTTGAAATAATCTGACAGGACTTAAATGTCCTTTTTTCAAAATTTCTTCCTCTAAAGTACTTTTAATAATTAACTGTTTTGCCTCTGAAATATTAATAAAAATGGTTAAATATAAACTATCAAAGGATTTGATAATTAACTATAGGATAATAAGGATTATGCTTTTGAATCTGCATAATATGCCGTATCATAAGCAAGGAACGCGCGGGCTCTGATAGTATGTATGATGCTTTCATAAGACATAATTTTTAATATTAATAATATTTAATTAGTTTGATTACAGCAATATGAAAATTGAAATTTATATATCTAATTATATATGAAACTTATATATCTCTTTAATTTTATTCTTTGACTCCAAACCACTTCCCACTTACACAGAAGTTATATAAATAACCTGTTCATCTATTTAAAAACATATTTTTGGGTTTTTAGCTTAACAATTCTTTTATTTTTATAATGATATATTATTATTTTTTTGTTTTAGGTAGTTTTATCTGAAGAAGAGGACATTGATACAAACAAATATTTAAATAATGATAGTTTATCATCTGTCAGTTATCCATTTAATCTCGATTTAGAGTTGGTTTTGGGAAAAATGCCAAGAAAAGTAAATGTTCATTACTATATAATTTTTTGTATAACAACATATTATTCATATTAGTAGTATATTCAATATACTACTACTTAACTTTATTTTTACTATGCTGTTAGGAGTAATATGGGCTTAGCATGTTCCTGTAAAATACTTTTTTCAGTATTAAAAAAAAAAGTTAGGCAATTAATATAAACATTAAAAGAGCAAAACTACTACTTTTGATTTGTTGTTTTGCAAATATGTTGTTGAAAATTGAAGTTTAAAATATCATAAGGTTTATCCCCAATTCCTGGTCAGCCATTTATATTAAATATTATTTTGCATCCATTTTCATGTTTAGAGCAATTTACAGTTCTCCCACTAATTTATTAGAACTGATGAGAGCAACTGTTCTCGATCACTTTGAAGCCAACCATCTTTAAGTTGACAGTGCACACAGGTCCTCTCTCTCCTCTCTAGGGTTCAAGAGTACCTTTTTGTCAGTTTCATCTTCTAAATTTGGTCCTCTAGTAGTTAGTTGCAGTACTTACATCTCTCTAATCTCTCATTAGATAACTGTACTGACTTTTAGAGTCTGAGCGATATAAATAGTTAAATGTATATTGATCAATTTACCATACTGGTTTTACCTTTTCCAATTAATTAAATTGACAAAGACGTCTTTTTGAGAATAATATATTACATTTGCACAATTATCATTGTTTATAATTCAGTCTATTATCCATCCATTTTGGAATGGTAGCGAATTATTAATAGTAAAGTTAAAAGTTTGAGATATTCAATTATAGTTAATACTTTCTTTTTTTCAGAAATTTCTGCTGGAGGACATATCACCTATACCACGACAATTGTTTGTTTCTCCAGAAATAACTGTTCTTCAAGCTTTGAATCATGTCTTACGTCTAGTTACAGTATGTAGTAAAAGATTTCTGACAAATAAAGTCGATAGATGTGTAACAGGTCTTATTGCTCAGCAGCAATGTGTTGGACCTTTACATACCCCTTTATCTGATTGTGCTGTCACAGCTATATCGATGTTTAATACGGTAATTTCATTTTACATGTTATTAGTATAATTACTTATTACTTTTAAAGGTGAGGGTTAAATTATCATTTAAGAAAATACTTCTTTTTTTTCTATGATCATAAGAAGAGGTTGTTATCATAAAAAAATATAATAGCTAATAAAATGAAATGATATAAGTTATTGGATTATGTACTGAAATTTGATTCCATATGACTGTCAGTATCGTTATAATTTAAATGGTGATTTATTATTAAATATTATAATTGTGGGTTGATGGTTGACTGTAGTTAATAATTGAAGAGGAGGATGGTTGGGGTGATCAGTCAAAATAAATAATTGTATTTATTTTCACATTCGCCAACTTTTCGGCTCGAAGTTCAGGCCTTCATCAGGGCTAAGAAAAGAACCAGATAACGATATGTATAAGAAACTATAAACTTGAATAATAAAGAATTAAAATTAAAAAAGGTGAAAGGTATGGACTAAAAATTTAGCTAGAAAAATTTAACGTAAAATGAAGTAGATAGAGTGAACATTAAAGTAAAACGAAGTAGGTAGAATGATAACAGTAACAGAGAACTAAGAAATAAATAATAATTACGGTAACAAAGCATGGACCAATGAAATAAACATAATAAAAAATAAGATAACATAAGAAATGAAAATGATGATCTTAGAATAAAGTGTAAAACAGAGAAAAGCAGTATGAAATTATATAAGGACAAAATAGATATAAATAGAAAATTAAGATATTGTAAAATCTATCAAAAATACTGACTATGTATAAGGAAATAAAAAGTTAAATAATGTTAAAAAAGATGTATGAGCAAATATATCAATATATAGAAAATAGAGATGGAGATATGGAAAGTAGAGTGACGGGAAGAAGGAATAAAAGGAGAAAACTAAGATAAGAAAAATAAACGAACTAAAAAACATATAAATAAACAAAAAATAAACGGTTCGTTTATATTCTTTTTATACCAACTCTTGGTTGGCTAGCTCAAGGCATTTTTTAAAGCAAACATCTTCTGTTGCCTGTACCAACTCCTTCTTAATAGGAATAAAGCACGATTTTTTTTTTTTTATTTTTTTTTTTTAGCAGCATGAGTGCACTGCGGCCATGTAGACCTATTGTACACCTTATTTAAAGTCACTTCTCTTTAGAGTGTAATTCCTGCAGTCTCAATGAACTGTAATAAGCTTGTTGGATTGATAAACTCGTTTGCCTTGGGATCCTTCTCCCTATCAATGCTGAATAATCAAAATCTTAAACCAGCAAACCTATCGCACCAGCAAGTGATATGCTGTCTCATCCTCCGGCTAATTCAGTTTACAGTGCCCTGTATATGCTGCTGTAATTTTCTTAAGTGAGCTCCTGCTCAGATTAATTAGTAAGTTAATTCTTTTTTGACAGATTCCTTCCAGAAACAGTCTAAAGTGGATCTGCTTTTTTAAGCACCAGTTCTTTTTGTTTTCAGCACCATATATCTCCCCGATTCTGTTTGTTGTCAGACACTGACTAATACCACAGATGGGTTCCGGAGCTATGGGTGTCATTTGTGAGCCCAGTCTAGCTAGTTCATCGGTCATCTCATTACCATGAATTCCAGAGTGATCCGGAACCCATTCAATGTTTACCTTATTAAGTCTGGATATGTCATTGAGAATTCTAACACAATCCCCAACAGCCTTAGATCTAGTTGTATAGTTGTCTAGTGCTTTTATAGCCGCTTGACTGTCAGTATATATTGTGATTCTCCTCCCAACTAACCCGTCAAGTAACATTTTTAGAGCACAATGAGTTATCGCCAGTATTTCAGATTGAACACTGTTGCATAATTTCCAAGTAGTATTGACATACCTGCCTCTGGTTCATTCCTTCTCCAAAAACCACCATCAGATTCGCATGTCATGAGTGACCTATCAGTATAACAATTAATCCCATCATGTGAGAAATTCTCAGGTTTGACTGTCAGAATGCATTGTGAGCAGCCTCTCCACCTCAATTTTTTTAATCTTTGAACATAAGTTTAATTTTTGTAGCCTGTAAAAAGTTTTCATGGCTGGCTTATCAATCTCCAGTTGCAGTGGTAAAAGACCTAACATTATCTCCATGGCTGCAGTCGGAGTAGTTTTGCACCTGTTGTCATTAAACAGGCTAATAGCTGTAATTTTTGCAATTGTATCCTGTTGTGGCCCACTCTTGCCTTATCCCACCATATAACAGTTGAATATAAAAGCACAGGTCTAATTGCTGCAACATACAGCCAGTAGACCATCCGAGGTTTAAGTCTCCATGCCTTCCCTACTGCATTCTTACATGCCCAGAGACATTTTTGAGCTTTTTTAGTTGTGACTCCACATGCTTATTCCATAACATTTTATTGTCCAGCATAACACCTAGGTGTTTTACCTCCTTACTTTCTGTTAGCTGGATATTATTTATTTTAGGTAGTCTTATTTCTACATTTATATTCCTTGTGAAGATGCAAACATTTATCTTGGCCGGGTTGACACTAATCCACTGGACCGGCACCATCCCTCCAAGACTCCTGTCACATTTTTCAATAGATCAGATAAAACATTCTGATATTTTCCACTAATAAGAATAGCGATATCATCTGCATATCCTTGTGCATAAAAGCCTGTAGTGTTTAGTTTTAAGAGCAAGGACTCCACCACCAAGCACCACTGTAATGGAGACAGCACACCTCCCTGTGGACATCCTCCTCCAGGTTTAATCCACATTACGGTGTTTCCTAGTTCAGTTTTAAAAGTTCGTGTATCCAGCATGTTACCAATCCATTTGGTGACAAGTGGATCTATTTTTCTTGTCCTTAGAGTATGCATGATAGTTTCATAAGGAGTTCTATCGAAGGCACCTTCTATGTCTACAAAGGTACCAATAGTTATTTCCTTCTGATTCATGGATTTTTCAATCCTTGATACCAGATTATGTAGTGCAGCTTCACATGATTTATCTGGTTGGTAACCGAATTGATTAGAATGTATCGAATTAGCATTCACTAATTGTTCTCTTATATGCCTGTCCAAAATCTTCTCTAATGTCTTCATCAGAAAAGATGACATGCGTATTGGCCTGAAAGACTTAGGATCATCATATGTTCCTTTTCCAGGTTTGGTATATAGCACAGTTTGGTTCCTCTCCATTCTGCAAGAAGGTAACCAAACGCCATACTGTCTCTTAATAGCTCTAGGAGATAGGGTTTAATTATTGAAAGTTCTTTTTGAATCAGTATTTGTAGGATATCATCCAAACCTGCCAATTTATAGGGAGACAGTGTGTTTACAGCCCATTCCAGTCTATTTGCTGTGACTATTTTCCTAGCCTTAATCCACCCCGTTCAATTAGCTGTGTAGCTAGGGAGTGTATTGTCTGTAAAAGCCTTTTCCATGGTATCACATCCAGGAAACTGTGCTATTGCTAGTTCTCTCAGGGTTTCCAGCTCATTAATAGTATGTTTGTCATTGACCCTGAATGTACCCAGTGTTCCTTGGTCTTTTTGTTTAGTAAGTATTTTTTTGATCTTACTTACCATAGAAGTACTATCAATCTCTTGGCAGAAGTTTTTCCAAGACTGTCTTTTAGCTTTCCTCACAGATTTATGATATTCTGTGAGGGCGGTCCTGTAAACCTCCCCCTTTCCATGTCTTAAACATTCCAACTTCCAATTTTTTATGTTCATTTACAAGGTCAATGTCATATCCATGAAGCCATCTGGCATAAAGGGAAAGATAAAATGGGTAGGATCCTCCAGAAATATCGAATACTTCATTTAATATTTGTAACATTAGTTTTTTTTTATGATTTACGGGGAGCCAGCTCATGAACTACCCTCCTCTTTTAACCAGTCTTGGTGGCTAAGATTCTAGTATAAATATTTCCATTGATGGAATTGTTTTATGTATATATAATTCCACAATTTAAATGGTTTCAAGATTAAAATTTAATTGTTTTGTTATAATAATTGAAATTATGTCTTGTTTAATGGAAGAATGGTGATTCCTATTTTATTTTTATGAAGATTTTATTGTTATAAATTTTATTTAGGAAGGTATTGCAACATCTATCGGGGAACAGCCACTGAAAGGGCTTGTAAATCCTTCTGCTGGCGCTAGAATGACTGTTGCAGAGGCTCTTACTAATTTAATGTTTGCTAAAATATCTTGTTTGGAGGTAAGTATAGTAAAACTTGTATTAATTATTTTATAGTTATTTAATAGTTATTATTTTATAGTTTATAATCATAATGCATTTATCAAAAAATATTATGTATATTTTCATGTTTGCAGTGTGCTCTTGGTCAAAGAGGATCAGAGAAAAAGCACAACAGCACACATATAGAAATAGTTAACATTAATTTGTATAACATTGATTTTTATTAAATATATATATATATATATATATATATATATATATATATATATATAATATTAAATAATATATTAAATATTTATATCTATGAATAATAGTAAAGGAAGATGAAATTATGACTAATAATTTTTCATTTATGGTCAGTGTTTCGGGTTAATCATACATTGTCAAAAGCATAAGGATATATAGAGTTTCTAAAAATATCAACGTATTTTTATTTATTTATTTATTTTTTATTGCATTGTATATATAGTATGAATGGGTCTCATTCAGCTTTAGTACTCAGTGCCCTTAAATGTGGCAAAATGTATTATTTCTCAATAAAAAGATTTATAAAAAAAATATCAAAATCCAGGAGTTGCCAAAGAATTTTATTTTTTTTGGATTAGTCAGGGTTTTTTGTTGAACTCAGGAAATTTTCTCGTTGTTAAAAACATAAGAATCCACTAATGGATCCAGTACTTAATTTTGAGGGGAAGTACTTCAGCCCGAAAGATTTTTTTTGTATGTATATATTACGATAATTATTTTGGCAGAAAGAAAGAAACTAAGTACCTTTATGAAGTGGTGTTTAAGTGATTCTTTAAGCCCTGTTAAATGTAATAAGATGAACAATAATACTTTAAGAGATAATAGAGGATACAGGCATCTGAAGCGTCAGATTCCTCTTAGTGAAACCTTGGTCTATCTGTGTAACAAACTCTGATCATTTGCTCCTAAAACTCTTTGGCAAGAATCTCTTCATTTCCAATCCTCACAACATGTCAAGCCCAGTTTAACCTGCCTAGTTGGATGTGTTGGATGACATCCACCTCCTTGCCTTGTGTAAAGACAACTTATCTTTCAAAACATAGTACGGAAGATTCTTAAGCTTTAGTTAGAGTCCATGTTTCCGAGGCATAAGTCAGTACAGGTTGGATAAGAGATTTATAAATCTGAATTTTTCAGGGCTTCAGTATGAGGTTGTTTCAAAGATATTACTGGTGCAAAAATAGCAGTGGTTTGCATCTACTATTCTCTTTTCAATATCTGCACCAATATCATTTATTTCATTCACCTGTAATCTAAGATGTATGAACTTCTCAACCTTTTTAATCATCTACCCTTCTATTATTATGTTTCTTACATGATTAGACACTGTGTGATTCACATTGAGGTACTTGGTTATACTGAAGCTTACCAGTAACCCCATTTTAGTGGCAGCATTCTTAAGTGCTATAAATGCATCCTTAACGGACTCTAATTACATTCCTACAATATCAATGTTGTCAGCGTATCCGAGTAGTTGTATGAGGTTATTAGAGTATCAGATGTCTGGATCTTAGAGTCTGTTATAGCTTTCTCTATTCCCATGTTAAAAACCAGAGCAATGAGCCCATCTCCTTGCCGTACCCCCATGTGTGTTGAAAATTCACCACATTTCCCAACAAATATCCTTAGGGACTAGCTTTGGAGGAAAATTCATTTCAGTTATTCTTCTTCTTCTTCTTCCTCGGTGCTTGGGTCCACAAGAGACCTGGGCCTCCTTCACAATTCTCTGCCACTCCTCTCGATCTGCTGCAGCAGCTCTCCACCGCCTGACACCAACTCGTCTCTACGTCATCTATCCACTGGAGTGGGGGCCTGCCTCTCCTTCTTCCTCCTCCAGGTTGTCAATACAGCACTTTCCTTGGCACCCTTCCCTCCGGCATCTTCTCCAAATGGCTCAGCCATCTTATACGGGACACCTTGATGAAGGTGTCTATCTTTCTGTGTAGTGCAGCAAGCTCCCTCGCTCAGTTTTTGAAGCTCATTTACTCCATGAATAAGGACCTATTGGTTACATCCAAATTGGTTATTCTGCATACCCGATCAGTAAAATATTTTCAATGTGATGAATTTGGGAATATTGAGATCATACATAATTTATAAAGTTTTTCATTCTCCCTGCTCACCCTATTTTTTCTGAGTTTCTGTAATTTAGAAACACAATTTAGTTTAATAGGTTTATGTTGTGGCAAATGAGGTTTCTTTTGTTGGTAAATTTGACTCTGTAATCTCTTTCAGTTCTTCGCCACAATTAATCCTGGAATTTCCAATATAAAAAAATATTTGAATGAAGGATCCTCATAGAAACTAATTTTAAAGCAATTTTATATCAGTCAACGCGACAACTGCAAGTCACACTTTTGCATTCTAATTTTCAATAATCTCTTGGAAGAAGTATTCTATTTAAATTACAAAAATTAAAATTAAAATAAAAACCTTGATAAATATTGAAAGTTAAAATTATCTTTAAAATGAAGCTCTGATAAAAATTTAAAGTATCAAGTGAAACAATTAGATTTGAACATTTATCTTGTAAATTTACCTGTGACATCAGATATCTTTTATGGAATTCTCCTCATAAAAACATTAATTTTCATTTTTGTTTATGTTTTTATGCAAAATTGTAAATATGAAGTAAAAAAGAAGTTTATGTTTCAAATTTTATTTATGGAGTGCTAACAATGGGTAGTTTTTCTTCATGTTGTACCTGTCATGTTACTTGTTTCATATTTACTTGTTGTATTTATCATTTAATACAGTTGTGAATTTCAATAATAAAAATTGATTTCATTCTTATTTAATGAAATTACTTATTTTGTTTTCATAATCATAATTATAATAACGAATCATAATTATTATTTAGAGTTTTAAAAATATATACAAAGGAAAAAGAATATTCTTCATATGAACTATATTGTAATTATAATTACAATTATAATAATTATTATTTTAAAAAATATACTGCTTCATGTCCCAGCCATTTCAGTTCTGAGTTAACACCAGTTCATTTATTTTAAATAGTAACAGTTTATGTTTTACACAAGTTTGGAGGGTAATTTTCTGAAATAAGGATTATTTTAGCAAAAATAACCAAATAAAATGGATTTAAATTAAAATTATGAAGAGGACATGGTCTCAATTTAATGATAATTCGAAATAATTGAAGAGTACTCTGCAGATGTGGCATTTATTACAAGTTTTTGGTGATTTGTGTCTTCAGAACACCTTGTTACATCTCAGGAGTCAGATCAGAAAAATCAATGTTGTTGTTGAAAAATCACAGATAACAATTGTTTTAGAAATTTATTTCATTTGAGAATTCTTCATTGAAAACATCTCTTGCCATTGGAACTTTCGGAATTAAGTGTGCTGGAGAAAAACTGGAAGAGGCTACAGTGTCAACTTCACCACCAAAAGAAACTATGGAGAAGTTGTGGTTTTACTATGAAAATCTCAAAGCTCTTGAGAAAAAGTGATGTGAGCAGGGATTATGAAACACCTTGTGTTTATAATTTTAAAAACCATGAATTTAATGACATTAAGTTGTTATATGTATCATAAATATAAGGCAATAATAGTTAATTGAATTATAGGATGTTAAATGTTCTGGTAATTGGATGTGGGCTGCTAAATTACCTGGTGAAGGAGCTGCATTATATAGAACATGTCAATCCATGTGTGACTTTATGTCTCAGTTAGGCATAGCTGTTGATGGTGGAAAGGATTCTCTTAGTATGGCAGCTCGTGTTAATGATAAAACAGTTAAATCACCAGGTATGTTGTTGATGTTGAGAAGTAATTAAAAGATTATAGCAGACCTCGAGAGTAACTAAAAAGTCCATATAGGCTATAGTCCCATTCCATGCAGTTATAATTGGAAAAACAAACCACACAGCCCTGTGTCTCTAAAATACAAGTAACACATGAACTAACCCGTTAATATTACACCAATTCAGGCATCATCAGGACAAAAATAACAAGATCACATCACTCCATAATATCCAAACACATACTGAAAGAATGTGTCCTGATGTCTGAATTGATGAAAAGTTGATGGGTTAATTTGTTTTTTACCTGCATTTTAGAGACACAAGGCTGTGCGGTTGGATTTTTCCAATTATAACCTAACATTAAAAATATATTAAAGGGGTTTTCAAACATTTCAACTAATGGTCCAAGAGCCGAAGAGGAAAAAAAATCTGAGTTATTTCACCCCAATTTTCTAATACATCACTGTAAACATTATCGGTTAGAGTCAAAATCTACGAAACTGCTAATCATTAGTGTAGGGGGTATTGAAAATATCAGCTGATTGAAAATGTTAAAAACATCTCAAAATTTGAGTTATTTCATACTTTTTTTTTTTTTTTGTCCCTCTTGGAACTAGTTTTGGTATTCAGACAAAAAAAAAACACTGCCATGTCTATAATGTGCCATGAAAAACCCAAAAATAAAGTTATTTAATACTTGTTTGTTACAGTCTGCTCAGCATTGTTAAGGAAAAAATCAGAATGTGATTCATTTTTTACCTTTCTGTTTTAATGTAATGTAAAATACTGATTTTTTATTAATATGGATAATTAAACAATATCAATAATATGTATTATTATCTAGTCAAAAAAAGAAAAAGATTGTTTAGAAAAGGGATAAGAATGAGATCTTGATGGCAATTAAGCAGACCCTACATGGTCATTCGGAATTGCATTCCGAGGCACTAATGACGTTCCGAATCATCGTGTAAGGCAGTGAATGAAGTACTGATGGTGGTGTGTGGCGGATTTCCGAGTTCAAAGGTTCATTCACGAGAAGTGGAGGGGGGACTGAGGTAAAAGTAGTGGGGAGACTAATCATACTACTAGATAGGTTAGTTTACCTAGGCCTCACAACCATTGTAAATTTCTGATTTTCATTATAAGTAAATAGTTAACTAATTTTTCATATCCCTTGTTTATATTTTATAAACCATCTTCAACTATTTCTTTTAAATAGTCAAGTGGGCAACAAATTAAAAAAAAAAAAGTGGAAACTTCACAATTTACTTAAAGAAAAAAAAAAATCTTTAACTGTTGTGTATATTTGTCAGTTCTTTTCCCATTTTCCTCAACAAATTTATTATTTTCGCAATCCCTTTTCTTAATTTTTGTAAATAGTAGACTTATACTTTACTAACTTTTGTCAAAATGATTTTCTATAAGACTAACCTTACTACTAGATAGGTTAGTTTACCTAGGTCTCATTTTTAAGTAAATAATTTCATAAAAGTAAATAGTTGTTTATATCCATAGTTTATATTTTTATTAACTATTTTCAACTATTTTTTCTTTAAATAGTCAAGTAGGCCATAAAATGAAAAAAAAAAAAAACTGGAAACTTCACAATTTACTTATAGAAAAAAAATCTTTAACTGTTGTGTTTATTTGTCATTAATTTTTCCATTTTTCTTAACAAATTGATTATTTTCGCAATAATTTTCCTAAATTTTTCTAAGTAGTTGACTTAAATTTTTCTAACTTTGGTCTAAATGATTTTCAGCCACTAGGAAGTAATTATTATATCTCCATCTTTTTGATGCCCAATATTATAAATGACAATGTCCAAATAATCATATCTATACTGTTTCTTTGTTTACAACTGAGCTAAATTGGCTTCAGCAATGATAAGTAATGATCAGTATTGATTGAACGTGTAAGGTTCTTCATGATCAAAGCGATCCCGGACAATCTTTGCCATTCTTTTGACGTTCATTCATGAATTACCGTGTAGGGTCTGCTTTATAGTTCATTGAATGATTTAGACAAAAGAATCAAAATTTGAAAAGTATGAGTTTCCATCTATATTTTAATTTTAATAAAGACAAATAAATTTAAAAACTAAAGTTCATATTTTTTTAATAATGGCTAATAAACACATAATTGACGTATAATGGTTGCATTAATAAATAGTAGTTCTTGGATTGACAGTTTCTATATGTACCGTTACATATCATTTTTTAAAGGGCCTTATTAGTCCGAGAGGAATTTCCTAAAAAACTATTTATGTACCAAAGACTCATTAGAAGGAAAATAAAAATGAAAAAATCAGAATGTGGATATATCTCCAATAATTTTGGATGTAGAAGCACAAACAAAAATTTTTTTTTGAAATTGGTGACTAACTGGTGGCAGCTTCCCCTTGTCAGTCATCAAGGTCATTTCATTTTTTTTTCTCCCATATGTTTTCAACCAACCTTTCAGGTTTAGATATTGGAGTTTTTCTGAAACTCGTGGTATTTCACTATTACTATTGTTGGTTCTAGATTTTTAGTATTACTATACAAACATATTCTTTACTGGGTTATTCTAATAATATTTCTGCATTCTATTGTGTGGAAGGAGGGGAATTGTTGCCGTACTGAAAGAATCATCCTCAGGAATGGAAAATAACATGCATTAATGATACATTACTTTGCAAAAAAATAACAGCAAGTTTCTCAAATTTATTTTACTTTACAGGATCATTAGTAATTTCAACCTATGCACCCTGTCCTGATGTAAGAGTTGTAATTACACCTGACATTAAAAGCCCGTCAGAAGGCAATGTTGGCTCACTTATTTGGGTCTCTTTATCTGATAAACATCGCCTTGGTGGTTCTGCTTTTGCACAGTGTTTTTCACAAATAGGTTCCTGCTCACCAGATGTTGAGAATCCACTTTTGCTGAAAGAAGCTTTTAAAATCACTCAAAAATTAATCTCAGGTTAGTTTTATTAATTTTCTTATTAATATATTCTTAATTTTTTTTGCATTTTAGTCACCACCTAAAAAAAAAATCCTGAAAATTACATTATAAAATTATCTCATAAACCCAGTTTTGAGGTCTGGCTTTGGCAGATAATTGTTTATTCAGCCTTGGATTGACCTTGGAGTTGAGAGACCTTCCTGGGACACATCCAGTGTTTTTTTTTTAATGAATGAAAGAAAAAATATTTTTGATATCCGCAACCCCGGACCATCTCCTTCCTTTAAAAAATATTTTTATTCTGGGACTTAAGTCCCCTAAGAATAATAATAACATGGTTCAAAACATTGGTCCATTAGTCTGGTTTGACAAAATACAAAGAGGTCATTTGAATGTTAATTTCAATTGCTATTACAATCATACTTGAATTACAATAGTAAACAAAGTAACACTAGTATATTTTATGTGGTTTACATGTATACAAATAAAAAAAAATTGTTGATTAATTGTGTGTGAGCAGTTGTATTGTAACAGAATCCAATAAGTATTACATAGGTACTGAAGTTTAAAAATGAAGTAGGTGGTGGAATAAGAGTTGTTTGAAGGAATTTATGGATGAGGATTGTCGTATGGTGATAGGTAAAGAATTCTAGAAGGTGGTAGCACGAATGACGATGATGAAGATTTACTGAAGGATGTAGTTTTATGAGAAGGGATATATAAATCAATAGGTCGAGATCTGGTATTAAGAGAGTAGATAGAGGAACGTAGAGTGAGGAGTTCCATGATATAGGGAGGATTTTTGGTTCTTAGGATCTGGAAAAGGAAAACACCAAAAAGGAATTGTCGTCGGGAAGTAGGATAGAGCCACTTCAACTTGATATACCAGTAGGCAGCATGAAAATGCCTGGGAATTCCAAAGATAAATCTTATAAAACAGTTCACAAGTCTCTTTGATTTCACCTCCAGTCAGAAAACATAAACAATATGCTAGCATATAACCACACTAGGATTTAATAGATAAGAACTATGTAAAACTTAATCCGTTCGAAGTATTACAGCAAATTTTCATGACAAAGTCTCAACTCAACTCAATAAAGCATGTGCATTTAGCCCTTAGCAGTAGTAGTTCATGAATGATGAAATATTTCATCATACTTAGTTAACAGGTTAATGATAAAAGAATCCACCTGATGATTTAAAATTTGATCCCTTTCTGTTCTTAAGCCTCCAATGCGAGGGTTTTTCCAAAACATTATCAAAAGTCACCTTAGGTTTCATTGGAAGTTGCTCACTTATGGATGAATTTCAAATTCATCTAATGGGCTCAGGAACATAAGAAAATATTTTAAATCAATTTCTTATATTCACAGTAAAAATTGAAATGAATACTTTGAGTGACACAACATATTGTGATATTGAACGACTCTCTGACTGAACTTTTCACAGAAAGCTATGCTATGCTGCTCCATCAATGATTTTTTCTCAGAACAGGAGTGTCCAGTCAGTAATCTTTCTCCATTAGTTTTAGAATTTTTTTGAAAATTTATTAAGAAAGGTTTTTGTCAAAACAAACTACAATCAGACATTAACACTGTCCTTAAGCACACCGTTGTTTGGATTTGTAATATTATTTTGTTTAAATCTTATTTCTTATTTATCATAATGTTTAATTAATGTGTATAAATCATTTTATTCTGTAAAATTAATTTAATTAGCAGTGGAAATAATGAATATTCTGTTTAGGAACTCATTTTTATCTTATTTTGAATAAATCCGTTTTTAAAAAAAACAAACATATATATATTGTTTGGTTTTTTGAAAATGGAAATATATATATATATACACTACATTAATTGGTCGCCTCGAACTACCAGTCTTCCTGTACCTTTTCACGATCTTTTCTTTGAAACAGAAGAATAATGAATCTCAAGACAATTAGTGATGTAACACAATGATTTGCCTTCTTCAGAGAGAGCGATGATTCTGACTGAATCATCATGGCTTAAATGATTTGTTGTGAATAAAATTAATTGTTATAACTAGACTAAAGAGGAAAGAGAGAACAGACTTGAGGCAAACGAAAGATGAACATGGACTGGAAGGAAATTTGAAATGAATAAACCAAAATTCCATCATTTGTTGGTAAACAACCAAAATTCCATCATTGATTAACAATGATGTGTCTAATCCCTAATGTCTCTCATTTGATAAATTATATTACTATTAATATAAACAAAGTATGGATTAAGGTCAAAATCAAGAAAATCTCGAGAATTATGGGTGTTGCAATACTTTCTCCCATCGGCCTTATCTGAGCTACCAATCTTATTTTAGCTATTGGCATCTTCATGTTTAAATAAGGTTTGATACCATCCGATGAGCTTATATATCTTTATATGAGGCTGAATGAGTTGTTCAGGACGAATTCTATATCATTACTTGGCCAATAGTTCTGAGCTTTTTCAATAATTTCACTCAGCTCTTCCTTTGATAGGATGTGTAGAGTGGCACACCCTAATATGTCTAGAGTATTTTGTAACCCAGTTACCCAGTTAAAAGGTAGTTTGTAGAGCTTGGCACTCTTAATGAGGGAAAGGTAATATTAGTATAAGGCATCTTATATGGTTGCATAAGGTATCTTCTGGCATCCATAAGATTTGTTGCTACCAACATAGCATCCTCTTCAAAATTTTAATCTGGGTTTGAGGCCATCCGGATCTCTCTCTTCAAAACTGTTAGGTGTATTGAGTGGAAGGTGGAGAAGTTTTTTATGAAATAATAGATGAGCCTTTTCAACTGTGCATTCAGTACCTCAAATTTCAGATAAATAGTGTAGGTAGTATGCTTTCTACTATTGATAGTTTTATTTTTGTTTGCCATATGTCTAATTTGCAATTTGAGAGTATTTTAAACACTAAATTACCAGCCACATTATTAGCTTGGGAGAATCTGGCTAATGAATAAAAAGGAACCCTCAAGTAAGTGAATTTGTTTACAAATTTAATAGTGTAATTATTGTATATCAAGTCTTTGTTCTTGGCTAATCTACCTCATTTATGAAATGTTAGAACTATAGTTTTGTTAATATTTACTGTCAGCGACTTAATTTGGCAGCATTGCTCTATGATTCTGTGGTTGTGTTGAGCATCTTTTCAGTTGTCAGCCAGTATCACTAGATCATCTGCATACAGCATAAGAATCAGTGATATCAAATCAAAAATTACAATACTTCTAGCTTCCATTGCGACAAAAAAGGCTAGAATATCAGCTATATAGAGAACAAACAGTAGCGAGCTCAAAATGTCACCCTGCAGGGCTCTGTCAGTGATAGAAATCTCTTTTGATACATACACACACACATATATATTTTTTTTTTGGTTAGCGCAACAGACCATGAAGATATTCGACCCCGACTGTGGCCTCCTAGACCACATCCCGATTCCCGATTTAAAGTACAGGGTAGGGTCATCAATCCTATGCCCGGTCAGTGTGAGTGGCCTCCAGTAGGCTGACGGGTCTCACATACCCGGTGGGGGAGGAATCTCGGGCAGTGTGGCTTTCCTTGGTGGACAGTAACCCATCCAAGTGATAGCCACGCTGGACGTTGCTTAACTTTGATTACCTATCAACTTTGATTACCTATAGCAAGCGCCTTAGTCTGCAAGGCTACCCCAGCCCCTATATATATATATATATATATATATATATATATATAGAGAGAGAGAGAGAGAGAGAAATACTTTTAAATTGAAAATTTTTTGGTTTGTTTGAAGACTTTTTCACAGCACTGTATATATATATATAATAATAATATTAATATAGCTGAGTGGCACACCCTAATATGTCTAGAGTGTTTTGTAACCCTCAATTCAACGAGTTACCGACCGCTTTAATATTATCCCTGATCTCTATCCATAACTTGTCAATATCCTCGTGGTCCTCGTTAGGAAGCTCTAAAGCTTCAAACCTATTCTTAACATCTAGCTCAAATTGGGTTCTAATTGATGGATCTTTTAATTTTTCCAAATTAAGATTCTCAGAATCAAAACAGTTTTCTTATCTCTTTTTTATATTAAGTTTTTGTCGAAGTTTCGCGATTACTAATTCATGATCCGACCCACATCCTGCTCCGCGATATGACCGTACATTAATTATACTGCTTTGCCAGCTATGTTGTATCAAGACATGATCGATTTGATTTTGTGTTTGCGAATCCGGTGATGTCCAAGTATATTTATGAATATCCTTATGTTTAAACGTCGTACTTTTAATTATCAAGTTTTTTGAGATGGCAAAGTTTATCAGACGGATCCCATTATCGTTACTATATTCGTGCAAACTTTCTTTACCAATCGTCGGAATATAAACTTCTTCCCTTCCTACCTTTGCGTTCGCGTCACCTACAATTATTTTCATGTAGTTTCGCAGTAATTTATCATAAACCCATTCGAGTTTATCGTAAAATTCAATTTTGACTTCATCGTCACTGTCTTTGGTCGGACAATGTATGTTTATTAATGCGATTTTAAACCAATGTCCCTGAAATATAGCTACCGAAATTCTATCACTAAAGAATTGTACATCCCTCAAAGCGGATAGTAATCTATCTACCAATATTTAAATCCCTATATTTCAACTTGCGCCATGAATCCCCTAAAGCAGTCCCCACCCGGAGACCCGAACGGGGGACTAGTTTACCTCCGGATAATGAGCGTTTTACCTTAGGGAGATCCATGACTATTTGTGGTGTTTGGTGAACTAAAGATATGTCAGTAGGGCGTTCAATCCTACGTAAAACCCTCCAGCAAGTCTGGTGGGCCCCTAACTCCAGCAAGTCTGGAGGTCCCCTCCCTCCAGCAATTCTGGAGGGCCCGTCTCATTGTTGGTCAGCGAGTCCATCGGACTTAGTCGGGAGGAACTTCCAAGGAATATCCACCGACCATCCCCACATACATCCGCCACCCGTGGGACGCTCCCCATACTCGGTAATGAGCTGTCCTGTACCTAGTTTTTAAAATAACCTCCATTTTAAGATTAGGCCACCGAGTTTCTATTTCTTTTAGTTTTTCGGATTTTTTTCATATGAGGATGTATTCTTATGTTTCCGTAGCCGTATATTTTGAAAATGCCCTCCATTTTAAGATTAGGCCACCGCGTTTTGACTTATTTAGTTTTTTTAATTTATCCAATATAAAAATCTACTTTTATGTTTCCGGAACCGTAGATTTTGAAAACGGCCTCCATTTTATGATTAGGCCACCGCGTTTCGATTTCTTTAAGTGTTTTGAATTTTTTTCATAAAAGGGTGTATTCTTATGTTTCCGGAGCCGTAGATTTTGAAAATGACCTCCATTTTAAGATTAGGCCACCAAGTTTCCATTTCTTTTAGTTTTTTTGGATTATTTTTATATGAGGTTGTATTCTTATGTTTTCGGAGCCGTGGATTTTGAAAAAGACCTCCATTTTAAGATTAGACCACCGCGTTTCGATTTCTTTTAGTTTTTCGGATTTTTTTCATAAAAGGGTGTATTCTTATATTTCCGGAGCCAAAGGTTTTGAAAATGATCTCCATTTTAAGATTAAGCCACCGCGTTTCGATTTCTTTAAGTGTTTTGAATTTTTTTCATAAAAGGGTGTATTCTTATGTTTCCGGAGCCGTAGATTTTGAAAATGACCTCCATTTTAAGATTAGGCCACCAAGTTTCCATTTCTTTTAGTTTTTTTGGATTATTTTTATATGAGGTTGTATTCTTATGTTTTCGGAGCCGTGGATTTTGAAAACGGCCTCCATTTTATGATTAGGCCACCGCGTTTCGATTTCTTTAAGTGTTTTGAATTTTTTTCATAAAAGGGTGTATTCTTATGTTTCCGGAGCCGTAGATTTTGAAAATGACCTCCATTTTAAGATTAGGCCACCGCGTTTCGATTTCTTTTCGTTTTTTGGATTTTTTTTATATGAGGTTGTATTCTTATGTTTCCGGAGCCGTGGATTTTGAAAACGACCTCCATTTTAAGATTAGGCCACCGCGTTTCGATTTCTTTTAGTTTTTCGGATTTTTTTCATAAAAGGGTGTATTCTTATATTTCCGGAGCCAAAGATTTTGAAAATGATCTCCATTTTAAGATTAAGCCACCGCGTTTCGATTTCTTTTAGTTTTTTGGATTTTTTTATATGAGGTTGTATTCTTTTGTTTCCGGAGCCGTGGATTTTGAAAACGACCTCCATTTTAAGATTAGGCCACCGCGTTTCGATTTCTTTGAGTTTTTCGGATTTTTTTCATATGAGGCTGTATTCTTATGTTACCAGAGCCGTAGATTTTGAAAACGACCTCCAATTTAAGATTAGGCCACCGCGTTTCGGTTTCTTTAAGTGTTTCGAATTTTTATCATAAAAGAGTGCATTCTTATGTTTCCGGAGTCGTAGATTTTGAAAATGACCTCCATTTTAAGATTACGCCACGTTTCGACTTATTCAAGTTTTTCGAATTTATCCAATTTAAAGGTCTACTTAGTTTTTAAAACGGAGCCTTAGTTTTTAAAACGCAGTGGCGTAATCTTAAAATAGAGGTCATTTTCAAAATCTACGACTCCGGAAACATAAGAATACACTCTTTTATGATAAAAATTCGAAACACTTAAAAAAATCGGAACGCGGTGGCCTAATCATAAATTGGAGGTCGTTTTCAAAATCTACGGCTCCGGAAACATAAGAATACAACCTCATATGAAAAAAATCCGAAAAACTCAAAGAAATCGAAACGTCCAAGAATACACCCTTTTATGAAAATAATTCAAAACACTTAAAGAAATCGAAACGCGGTGTACTAATCATAAAATGGAGGGCGTTTTCAAAATGTACGTACCGGGAACATAAAAATACACCGTTATATAGAATAAATCAAAAAAACTTAAATAATTCGAAACCCAGTCACGTAATCTTAAAATGGAGGTTATTTTCAAAAACTACTCATACGATAACAGACCCACACATCGAAAAATTAAAGATAATTAAATAAATAAAAAAAGGTTGAATTTGAAATGGAAAAGGTTTAATTTGAAATGGAAAAGGTTGAATTTGACTTGGAAAAAGTTCAATTTGATTTGAAAAAGGTTGAATTTGACTTGGAAAAGGTTGAAATTGACTTGGAAATGCTCTCTCTCTCTCTCTCTCTCTATATATATATATATATATATATATATATAATGTTTACAGTGCTGTGAAAAAGTCTTCAAACAAACCAAAAAATTTCAATTTGAAAGTATTTGTATCTCCTTGATTGTAAACTGATTTATTACAATTGTTCCAGTCCATTTACTTTCCAAATTTTTGCTAATCTATATTAATTTTAGCTTAACCCTCTGCTGGATACTAAGGTACTTATAATATCACCATTTAGTGTTTTTTATGGCATACAATTTTTACATAATAAAAGTAAATGTCACTAGTTATTTTTATTACAGTGTCTATTTTCGTTAGTTTGAGTAGATTAACAAACTTTGTTTATTTCAAATTAAATCGTTTAAAGCCACATAAAATAGATTTTGAATTAGGCATGGCTCAAAATCAGCCTATAAATATGTAAATAACACATGAAATTGTACTTCAATGGTTTTCTCAGGACTATTATCTGCATTTTTGGTTATCTGTCCAGTCCAAATGATTTTGGAAGATTGAGGTTCTACTGTATATAAAACTAAACTTTGTTGTAACAATAGGATAAATAAGAATTGATAAAGGGGAATAACAAATTTATTAAATAGTTATATTGAGAACAGATAAAATTAAATAAAATCAAATAAGAAATTGAGAAAAGTTTTAATTTTTTGAATTTGACATATTTCAGAAACTGAAGTAAATATTTAGGACAGTTAAGTATGAGGGATGAGGAGCGTGGATAACAGTTTTTCTGGGGTTCATCCAATCTGACATAGCTATGAACCATGATTTCCATGTTGTTTTTTTATAACTTGATTTCTTAATTATCTATAATCAATGATATACTACCTAATGAATTAAATTATTTATCATATTTAATATATTCATTGGAAAAAAAGCAAAGTTCATGCAAATTCAAAAATTTTAGTTTTGTTTCATAACTTTATTTTATAATTTTTAGCTTATTTCATGTGGCATACATCTTCGCTGTGGTCATCACTCCTTTTTTTAAAATTTAATGAATGAATAATAAATGATCTTTTTATAGGATTATTCTGGAAAGAAGAAAAAATAAATAAATAGAAAACTCAGCTTTATTTATATTTTTAAGATCAAACTGGTTTATCATGACACTTTGCCTAGAATCAAATTCACTAATAATTGTTTAAATCATATGTATTTTTGCAGAGGGGAAAATATTAGCCGGTCATGATATAAGTGATGGTGGTTTGATTACATGTGTTTTGGAAATGGCTTTTGGAGGCTTATCAGGTTTAGATATAAAAATGGATATGAAACCTTCCCCAATAGAAATTTTATTTGCTGAAGAAGTCGGGTGGATTATGGAAGTCCGTAAAGAAGACATGAAATATGTCATAGATAAGTATGAAACTCATTCTGTAAAAACTCAGTACATTGGTGAAGCTACTGGATTTGGTATGGATTCTAAGGTAAATGTTATAATTTTTCTTCCTTTTTTAAATAAACCATTATTATTTATTAATAATACAAATAATTTCATCTTTACCAATGGCCTAGCAAATTTTAGCATTGGCAAAATTAACAAAATGAATCACTGTGCAATTTAACTCTTGAAGACAAGAATAGAACTGGAAAAACTTTTCTTCTTTTTCATATAACTTACACAATGTCTAATTTATAATTATAATTATTTAAAACATGTGGTACTTTTTCTAATTGTATCTTGATTAAATTCTTGATGTTTTAATAAAGTACCTTTATTCAATCATTTTGCACACTCTCCTTTTGGTGATGCTAATTAAAGACAGCTTATGACTACACATTCACCTATTATCTTCGTATTTAATAGTCTTTTCATTCCCTAATGCTGTAGGTAACCATTGGTTTTTCATCCACAATGAATAAAATGAAATGAATAAAAATATTTTTTATTATTCTGGTACTGTTGTCCCTTTAGAATAAATTATAAATACAGAGTAAATGTTCGTGTGGCCATACATAAATTAAATATTTACAAAATAATTGTTAATTAAAAATAAAAATACAGAAAGAAAGAGATAGAGAAAAAAAACCCTACATATATATTTAATAAACATACAAAACTAAAATAACATAAGTAAACAGAAATAGTTTCTGGGGATGCTTCAAGAGTTCCCTTAGGTACATTTTGTAATCAGTCTGATTGGGTAAGGAGTAGGTGTTTAAAGAGAAGAGATGTAAAAGAGGGAACTGATTGTATGTGTTTAATATCAGGAGAGATAGAATTCCAGAGAGAGACAGCTTGAATTACAAAGGATTTATCAAACACAGCAGTTTGGTGAGGAGGAGGAGGATAGAGATCTGAACTAGTACGTGATCTAGTGGAACGGCATTGAATGGAGTATTTAAATTGTAGGCTATGAAAAAAATAGGAGGGTTGCTGAGGTCTATTGGCCTGGTATAAAAAGGTGGAAAGGAAGTACTAAAGGCAGTAGGATGGATAGAGCCACTTTAATTGAATGTAATACTGGGTAATATCTCTTGAGATCCCAAAAACCAAACGTATTGAACAATTCATTAGATGTTTAAGTTTGGCTTTGAATTCTCCACTGTACATCATACAGCCATAGTCAAAGTGGAGAAAATAAGAGAGGAAACCAGGAGTTGTCGGGACTTGTATGGAAGGAGATAGCATAGACGTTTGAACTGTTTTAAATTAGAGATAGCATAATGGGAAATTTGGTAGATGAGTGATTTCCAGGAGAGGGTTTGATCAAAATTAACACCAAGTTTTTTTTATGGAAGTATGAAATGAGATAGGCGAGTTGTTTAGGAGAAAATTGGGTTGTACCGAAAAGGATTTGAGGAGTAGTGAGGGGGATCTGATCAAGATGGCTTTCATCTTCTCGAAATAAGCAATATGTGTGTGTGTGTGTGTGTGTGTGTGTGTGTGTGTGTGTGCGCGTGTGCGTGTGCATGTGCGTGTGCGTGTGTGTATGTAAAATATATATGTAAATGAATATTTACTTATTTATATATTCAAATTAAATTGCTACATTGAAGATGCAATTTAAGATTACAATAGTAGATTTATTTTCAATGAGCAAAATCTACCAAATCTGTACATTTGGTTCCTACCTTCTACTATACTTTTCAATAACTCTCTTTATAGGTGTTTATCAATTCCTTGAAATTCATTCTCCTTCTTGTCCCATGTAAACATCTTGCTAAGTTCCTATTTCAGTTTGCTGCCTATGTTCTTTGTAAGAGATTATATTTCTGTTAATTTAAAATGCCAAAAGTGTGTTCATTATTTTTATCCAAGTTGAAATCTTGAATTGAACCTTACAACAACTGACATGAAACCGTTTTTACAACTGATGAAAAACCAGTTATACCAGGCTAAGTGAATGAAAATTCAAATGAAAAAATGGAAGACGTTTTCATAACAAATTCAGGTCTCACAATTCTAGAAGGTTCTAATAAAATGTTAGATTGTGAAGATTCAATTGTTTCCAGCAACATTGACCTCAACCCGGTAATTTTAAGTTCCTATAAATTTGCCCCTATCATGTTGAAAGACCATTTTCTAATTATAGAAATATTTTAAATGATAAAAATTTCAGTTTCACAGAAGCAAATTTAGAAATGCATCTGATGATTAATTTTAAAATAGAACGTATCTGCAAAGCAGACTAATTTAAATGTTTTATCTATTTTACGTTATTTATTCCACAAGTTGTTAATTATGTCATTGTTTCATCAAAGACTCATGTATGATTTTTATCCATCAATATACAAAATTTTGATGCATTTACGTACTTATTGTTCCATATTTATTATCTTTATTACTAAGCTCATTTAATTATATGTTAGTACTATAATTTTTTTAAAGAGGTTCTTGCTACTTTTTCAACCATTATAATGTATATATATATTACAACCTTATTAGCCATTTATGTTTAGTTATTTTCATTCTCTAGTTTTGTTGGTACTGCTACTGGTGGGGCAAACTAGTACAAGTGGACCCTATCGTAGTTTTTTTCACCAATCCCTGACGGCTACCTTGAGGTCGCTGCAGTGTACTTACAAGAATTCACGATCCATTTCCTGAGGCTGCCGATAAATGAAAAGTAACCGACCCAGGTGGGAATCGAACTCACAACGTTTATAATCAATCACTCTGGGACCCACACCCCAACATGTCCGTCCTCCATTCTTTAGTTTAGATATTACAAAAAAAAAACCTATTTGTAGTCACATCATTCTGTTTAAATACCTTGCTGACAGGGTAGTAATCAAGTAATTATTAGGTTTAGCATATTTAGAGATCAATTTCTACAATTTTTATGTTTTTTTTTTACTGCATATCATACAGCATATTCTGTGGGATTTTACTGCATAAAAATTCGGGCCTTGGTGATTAGATATTTTAGAGGGTGGTGCCCTTAATTTACAATCTTCTCACAGGAGTTTGTACCCTTCTTGTTTATACCTGCACTGCCTCATGAGACACACTCGCAGTAGACCCCTTTGCTAGATTATCACCAACTTACTCTTTTGTCGGTGCAAAAGATTCTGATTCCAGAGGACGCTTACCTAAGAATACAGTAGACTCCTGCTTAACTGGCTCTCCAGATTAACAGGCAGTAGCGGTAACAGAAAAAAAAATTGTACACCCTTAAAGCACTTATCACGTTGTGAGATTCTCAACCACTGGTTGTAAATTTAATTTTTGTTGTGTTGCGATTGATAGATTTTAAATAGATTGAAAACAAAATCCTTATCCTTCATTTATTTCATAGAAATGATTCTTCTGATTATGACTCCTTGTAGATGTCGATCTGCATATCTTCATTGATTCTGCATATCTACATAGCTTCATTGATGTAGATCTGCAGATCTTCATTGATTCTTGAAACAAAATCCTTATCCTTCATTTATTTCATAAGAAATAATTTTTCTGATTATGACTCCTTGTAGATTTAGATCTGCATATCTTCAAAAAATGTCCATTTTCCCCATAGTTTTTACAGGCAGCATAGCATGCTGTATATTGGTTGCGAGGGTATTTTTTAGAGTACTCGCAGAACCCATACTTATTATACGAGCTCGTGAGAGCTCAGGTCACCTGAGATTCAGTGTTATTTTGAATAGACTTTTGTGGAACATCATCATGTGAAGGCATTTTATTATGTATAGGTAATAAATGAGTCTTTTCATACAATGAATTCAGATTGTATGTAGTTGTATTTTAATTCCTCTATCTTTTGACGATGAAGACCATTTTCCTTCTAATGCATGTTCCGATTCAAGATACAAACAAAATAACTGGTAAGCCATATGGAATATATCATATTTAAATAATTCACCTCTCTGTTGACTATCAAACTAGTTCAATTCAAAATAGTTTGAATAATATGTTTCATATCCAGCTTAAATTTCTGAAACTATATTTGGAGTCCTCGTCCTTTTTACTATTTTTGTTTATTTATGATTTTTGTTTTCTCCTTTTTCTTAGTCTTTAGGGTCTGTAAACCATCTTTTTTTTTCTATAGCTCGATTAGATTCATGAATTTCTTCGGCTTCAGCGATCTTTTTGACTCCAGGATTGAATATCTTTTGGAAACAAATCTATACTTTCCTGGTATTTAAAATATCACAATCAGGAATTAATGAGATATGATTCTTGTTCACTTAATTTCCATTTAATTCTGATTACTTTTGTAGTAATACTATGATTATTATACCCTATAAATTGTGTTCCAGAATAAGGTTTTTCATTGCATTATTTTTCAAAACTATTGTTTGCAGATATATATTTTTTGTATAATTTTAATTTAAAAGTATATATTTCCAGGTTACTTTTCGGGACAATGAAGACAAAGTAATTCTTGAAAATAAGCTATACACATTTTACCAAATGTGGGAAGAGACTAGTTATCAATTAGAATGTAAACAAGCAAATATAGAATGTGTAACTGAAGAATTCTTAAACTTGAAGGACAGAAGTGGACCTAAATATTGTGTTTCTTTTAATCCTGATGAACAGCTTATACCTCGTTTGAAATTAACTTCACGTTAGTACCAAACGTATAATAATATATATATATTTTTTTCTGTTTTCTGTTGGCATTACAGACCTTTTAACCATTACAGCCGCCTTAACAAGTCTACTCCATCTCTGTTTGTCTTGGGTTATTTCTTTTCAGTTATCTGCATGCAGCTCTATTGCATCTTTGTTTATTCTATCTATCCATCTGCTTTTTGGCCTTCCATGTGGTCTTTTTACTTTCACTTACCTATATATGAAATATATATTAAGGGACAGTATTGCAATCATGAAAATTTTCGGATCTGGGTTTTCAATGGAAATACATGTTATGAGGTCTCCTGAGTCCAAATAACCAAGTCCCACAAAATAATCTGTGTGTGTGTATGTATGTGACCAGTCTAGCTCAAAAACGAAAAGTTCTATAAAAGTGAAATTGCATATTTAAGGTTTGTATATACTTGAGATGTTACAGCAACTTTTTTGTCAAAATTGGCTAACCTGGAAGTGGCACTTTATATAATCGATTTAACACATTTTTACAATTTTCTCACAAACAGCTCAAACCATTTTGATTAAATTCAGTATATCAGTGTATTATTAGAAAGTTTTTAATATAATGTAGGTTTTATTAAAATTTGGAAATTTTAATTATTACCAAACAGATATTGTTTTGTGGACTGTTATTGTTGGTATCGGTATTATTCTCGGACTCCAGGATTGGGGTGCACATTGTGACCCTCAGTAGCTTAATGTCCTTGTGGCGGTACTGTTGGGTCTGTCAGCGTCCTGCCCGGCTTGGAGTATCGATGTCAATTAAAAGTAAGAAAAATTTGGTTTTATTGTTGAAATGTATGAAAACTTTTGATTGTTATACCAATGATAGGAATTTTTTTTTCCAGAACTGAAGAGTATCCCATTATTTATGTTAAAAAAACAGGGATCAAAACATTTTTGAATAAATGGAATGAACAGAAGCTATTTAAGTCATTTAAGTGTATTTCATGACCTATTATCTGACTATAATTCATTACTGAAGTTATATATACATATACATATGTTCACAAGGTGTCCCGTAAGTAGAGGGAAATATTTAAAAGGTTGATAGTAGACATCTAGATCTACAAAAAAGTTCATATAAACAGTATCGCGATTTCCAGCAGATGAGTAGGAAATTTAAGATTTGTGTTTTTATAAGTGAGTCACATTTTTTGTTTAATTGGAAGCGATAACCTAAAAAATATTTGATTTTAATAATTAAAAATTGTTCCATAGTAAACTAGACAAAATTTGCTTTCAATGAAAGAAGAGTTTGTCATTGTTAAAACTATTAAAAGAGAACTTTTGAGCGGCTAAATTGAGCTAAATCTATTTTTTTTAAATTCATAAATTATTCGGGCTTTTTTTTTTATCACCCTTTAACTGTACTGCATTTACACCACTTTTAGTAAAACTTCCTCATTTAATATGCTTTAAGTCCATATTAATTAAGTTGATGTTTATTAGGAAAAATTTTGAGATTCTCCTTAAGTCGTGTATAGAAATGATGTGATTTTCTATCCAGTCACCTAAAAGTACCTGCGTTTTCAGCAAAAAGACTACAATTAACTCTTGTAAAGCTTTTATTTCTTGTTTTTACGTGATATGGGATGTATTGTGATAAACGAAATTTCCTAAAAACACATTTTAATTACAAAACTTAAAAATAATGATTTTTCAAATATTTTTCAGGTAAAGTGGTTATGAAACTGTGTTTTTCTCTCAGATCTCCATCATAGGAATTGATATGTTTTTAGCAGTGACAAACGTAATGTTTCTTACTAAAATTTACATTTAAAATAAAGAAACCTACAGATTGCTTAAATTATTTCCATGAAAACGTAAATATTAGGGCTAGAAAAATTAAGTTTGTCACTTATAAATATGCATCAATTCCTATGAGAGAAATCTGGGAGAAAAACACAATTTCAGAACCACCTTACCTGCAAAATATTTGAAAAATCATTATTTTTAATTTTTATTATTGAGATGTGTTTTTACGCAATTTTGTTTATTTCAACACATCCTGTATCACGGAAAAACAAAAACTAAAATCTTTGCAACTGTTAATTGTAGTAATTTTAAATGAAAACACGGGTACTTTAAGGTCTCTTTTTTTTCTTTTTTTTTTTTTTTTTATTATTTCTTAATTTTATTTACAACTGTATTAAATAAATACATCCAGTAAATTTGAAGATAATGGGTATAGTGACATGAAAACACTTGCTGAGTAACTACCCAATGGTAGCACTCTAATGATATGTCTACATTAGGAGATCACGGGGCCATCTTCTTTTCAGACGCCTCGGAGGGTTATCAGGAATTGAAGAGGAAGCAAGGTTAGAAACGAGAGGGTTGGGATGATTCTGAAGTTTATTATGGAAGGGTAGGTATCTGGGTTGGACCAGATCTGAAACAAAAGAAACATTAAAGTCATTATGGATGGTTTTATTTGTAACAAAGTAGGGAGCATTGAGGATTTTATGAAGGATTTTGGATTGTAAGGATTGGATACGAGAGGAATTCGATGGTTTAGTGGAGCCCCATAGCTCAACTCCGTAAGTCCAAATAGTCCTTATTATAGTCAAGTATATGAGTCTTTTGTAATTAATTGGAAGTTTGTCTAGAGCGTTTGTCCAGTAAGTGCTGAAGTAATCAGAAACGTCGAGCGGTTTCTTGTCGTTTCAGTCTAGTATGAGGATTCCAAGTTAGTCTTTTTTCCAGGTGAAGTCCTAGGTATCGGATTTGCTCAGTAAGGATTAGTGGAGTATTGTTAAAGGAAACTGTAGGACAGGAAGTCATTGGTCTACGACGAAAGGTAAAGGTAATTTGGTGGGATTTATTGGAGTTTATTTTCTCCAGTTTTGACACCATTCTTCAAGATTTATTATGTGTGATTGAAGCATTTGGGATGCAATTGATGGGTCATTATTTACTGATAGGATACATGTGTCATCGGCATATGTGGTGATGACAGTGTTGGGATAGGTAGGGATGTCAGCTGTATAAACTGTATAGAGGATAGGACCTAGGATACTACCTTGAGGAACACCAGCGGACTGGTATTAGGTGACTCAAAATTTTTCCTAATAAACCTCAACTTAATTATTATAGCCTTAAAGCTTATTAAACGGGGAAGTTTTTCTAAAAGTGGGGTAAATGTAGTATAGTTAAAGGGCGGTAAAAAAAAATCCCAAATAATTTATGATTTTTTTAAAAACAGAATTTAGCTCAATTTAGCTGCTCAGAAGTTCTCTTTTAATAGTTTTAACAATGACAAACTCTACTTTCATTTAAAGTAAATTTTCTGAATCTATTTTCCAAATGTATTTTACATAATCGTCATTCATTAACTCAAATAGCATCTTATGCCGCTTCTGTTTAATTATTATGAAACCCAGTTGCTGTTGGTCCAGTTTTTTTAGCTTTACTATATAATAATGAATATTCCTTTTTATCAACTCTGCCATGGCCATTCCATTTATTTCCTGCAGAGCAACAATGTCGATATTAAATTTAATTTGATCTGCTATTCCCATCATTTTCCCAGATTGTACCATGGTTCTTATTAATCCATCATTCTGAACTATCATTTTGATTTAAAAAGAATTTTTTTTTTAGTTCCCCGTGTTGCAGTTATACGAGAAGAAGGTACAAACGGTGACAGAGAAATGGCAGCTGCTCTTTATATGGTTGGCTTTGAGACGTGGGATGTCACAATGCAGGACTTATTAGATAAAAAAGTTACTACCGATACCTTTCATGGCATTATTTTCCCAGGAGGATTTAGTTATGCTGGTAACTAACTTTTTATATTTTCTTCCATGTAGGATTTTTTTTTAATGCATATTCAGTCATTTCTTATTTATTTTTTATGAATTTGTTCTTAGGAAGAAATTTTATTGCTTAGTGGTGCATTTTACTGATTTCCTTTCTTTGCTTTTATATATTTAACTTTTTTCAGGGAAGATCTATTATACATAATTGAGAACACCCGCTTCTCAGACTGATACATCACTTTTTCTTTAATTGTTTGCAGTAATCTTATAATTTTCTCACTGAATGTGGAATATGCTTTTTTTAAATATTTATTATTGTTATTCCATATGTATTACAAAGCATTTGGTGAAAACCAGAGTATTTTATGATCATCGGTTCAAAAGATATTAATTTTCAATGTGCCGATATCAGGCTTACTAATGATAATAACGTGTTTGATAGCTGGAGCTGTAATGACGTCACAAAGTTTAACCAATTGTTTACTTTTCATCCAGTATATGCTTCACCAGTCGAGGTATTCTGTAATCATGTCGATTTGTGTTTTTTTCTGCAAAATGGTATATTGTGTTTTGCCAATAGATAAATCTTCATGAACACCCTATAAATATTTCTTCAGACTTCCAATGGATAAATACATATTTCTTAGGAAATTTAGATATTAATTCATGTTACATTTATCTGAACATACAGTTAGAAAAAAAAGTCTGGGTACACTTATTTCCAAAAGGAATTTTAATGTTTCTTCATCCCATGAGTGCTCTACAATGAAAATATTTGTTAAGAATCTATTTAAAATATGTATTTAAATCAATTTCCACTAATAAAAATTTTACTCAGGACCTAGTTTTGATACTATGGTAAATAATTTAAAAAATTGGTCAAAAAAAGTCTGTGTACATTATTTATAAACATAAAAACCTAAACAAAATGTGATAATCCCTTAACTGACGGCCTTATGAGCTATCAGTTATTCAGTATTTGATTATTTTTTGGCCTGCAAGGAAGTGAGTTTAATATTATTTGGCCTCATTATGGAGGCATCTGTGGAAATACAAAAATTAATTGTTAATTTAAGAAAAGAAGGAAAATCACTGAGATAAATTGGCAAAATAATTTCCAAACATAATTCCACGGTTCAAAAAATCATTAACAGGTTTAAAGTGACTGGAAACTTTCAAAGTCGGCCAAGAACTGAATGTCTGAAAAACTTGTATAAGATCCATGAATGAGAAATTATGAAAAATATTCATGAAACTCCAAAAAAAAGTGTCGCTTCACGTGCAGGTATGCTTAACAATGATTATACCATTAAAGTTACACCACAAACAGTGTGAATGTAGGGTATAACTCACGATCTGATAAGAAAAACCTTTTATAAGTAAGGTGAATAAAGATAATTGTTTATCATTTGCAAAAGATTATCTGAATAAGCCCAATAATTTCTGGGAACGAGTTTTATTCAACGACGAATGCAAATTTAACTTACTTTCATCTGATGGAAAAGTTCAGGTATGTCGAAAACCCAATTAAGCATTAGCAGCTAAAATCTTGTTTCCTACGGTGAAGCATCAAGGAGGTGGAATCATGGTTTGAGGCTGTATGAGTGCATCTGGCGTGGGAAAACTTAAAATTAATGAGGGTATAATGGACCAATATGTCTACATAGACATATTAAAAGAAAATTTAAAATAAAGTGCAATGAATCTTGATATTGGGTCATCATTTATATTTCAACAAGACAATGACCTGAAGCATCGAGCGCGCAAAGTCGAAGAGTATTTATTCCAAAATGCACCAAGACAATTGGAAACTCACCGGACCTGAATCCAATTGAACATCTATGGGATAAACTAAAACGAAGACTGAAAAAAAGGAATATTAAAAACAAAACACAACTTAAGGAAACATTAATGTATGAATGGAATCAAATTGAATCTGAAGTCACTAAAAAATTGGTTTCAGTGATGAATAACCATCTGCGAGGGGTGATAAAAAAATAAGAGAGGCCCTACAGACCATCAATTCCTGCAAATTATGTATTAACAATATTTTGTTATAAAAATAATAAGAAAAAAATCAAGTGTACACAAACTATTTTGGGTTGTAAAAATTACTTATTTGTGCGTCACAGATGTAAAACTTCAAATTTTTGTTGCAAACCTCCTTATTCATGTTCTTCACTATTAAAATTTTGTGAAACAGCAAATAAAGTGTTTATCATTGTCGTGTTTTATTATTTAATGCTGTAAAAGTATTTAAGGCAGTGGTGTACCCAGACTTTTTTTTACTAACTGTAGCTTCTATATGCCTTTCTACCACCATCTAGTATATTACTAATAATTACAAATGGTTAACAGATAAAATTACTAATGACACTAGTTATAACATAAATACTATTCATTCACTTTCAGGTATAATAACATTTATTCTTGTAGCAATTAAAGTTACTGTTAGTAGTTGAAAGTCACTTAAATTATTTTTTTTTCTGTAATTATTATATTATATTTTTTTCTACCAAAACTCAGGCCATCGTCATTGGTTCCAAGCCCCTCATTAGATCCCATACTGACTTTCCCATATTACACCTTAATGACCAGCCAATTTCCTTCTACTCCTCTGTTAAAAATTTAGGATTTTTCATAGATCAAACCCTCTCCTGGACCAACCATATTTCTCACATTTCCCGTCGGACAATCTCTACCCTTAAACTATTTCATCGCTTCCGCCATCTCCTACCTCAACATATCCGTAGACTCCTAATTTCCTCTCTCATCTTCCCCCACTTTGACTACAGCTGTGTGGTGTATGATGGCCTCTCGGTGGAGCTCCGTGATAGACTGAAAAGATTAATGAATAGCTGCGTAAGATTTGTTATTGGTGCCCCGAGGTACTCCCATGTCTCTCACCACTACACTGAGTTAAGGTGGCTCTACCCCTCCTTCCGAAGACAATACTTTCTAGGTACGTTCCTCTACCAAATCATCAACAACCATCGTCCTTCTTACGCCTACAACCTTCTCCAGTTCAAATCCTCAGTCCATTCCCTGTCCACAAGATCTCGACCTTCTGACCTTTACATGCCTTCTCACAGATCTGCCTCATTCCAAAATTCCTTTATTGTTCGCTCTGTCAATTTCTGGAATTCCCTCCCTATCAAAATTCGACATTCCCCCTCCATATCCACATTCAAATCCCTCCTATTCCAATTCCTATCACAAAAACAGTCAGATACTTGCTAACCATTCGAGCGGATTTTAATAGAGAATTTGATATATTTTTATTTTTTAATTCTTTATTTTTTTCGGAAAAGTGTATACTGGTCTAAATAGCTTTAAGTTTCTTGTCATAGTATTAATGGTTTTGTATATAGTTTAGTTTGTTTTGTATATAGAGTTTTTACCTTATATTTTTTTTACAGTATTTCTTTTTTTCGATTTATTTTGTTTTGGCCAGATGTAATATTTTAATTTTGTTCTAATTTGTTATTCTTAAGGGACTGTGTCCCAGAATAAAGTTATTTTTCTATTTCTATTTCTATTTCTATTTCTAATTAGATGTCTAAAGGGGGTATGTGAAAATGTGATCTATCCTAAATATTTTAAATGAAATAATACTTTCTATAAAGTTGTTAATTGTAGACAATATGGTTGGAAAGGTGGTAGAGGGTTGCAGTCAGAGAGAACACGCAAATAAAAATAAAAGATTTGTATTTTATTTTTGCCGACGTTTTGGCTTAAGTGGCAGGCCTTTCATCAGGGCTGAGAAAAGACAAGATAACAACCAAAAATATTGTAGAAGGATTTGAGAACAAAAAATTTTAAGAAGTGAATAAAAATCAAAATATATGAGTATTATATGTAATGGTAAGCAATGAAAATATAAGTTACCTATAATGAAAAATAATAAATTAAAAGTAACAGTAATAAGGCAATGAAATAAACAGAATAATAAACAATTAAATGATAAAGAAATTAAATGTAATATTAAGTAATATAGATCAGAGAAATTAGTAGTACATACAATAAGTAATAAGTGATAAATAGTAATTTTTAAGGTTTTTATTAGTGCAGATGTTTCAACCCAAACATGTGGGTCGTCATCAGGGAGTGTTTTGAGCACTTGAGCTATTCAAGTACTCGAATAAAGAGAGAGTACTTGAATACCTTCAGTGCTAGAAACACACCCTGATGATGATCCACATGTTTGGGTTGAAATGCCTGCACTAATATAAACCTTAAAAATGACTGCATCCTGACTGTTTATCACTTACAATATGTAAAACAGTTGACTAACTTTGTTCAATAATTCATAAAATAAATAAGATGTGGTAATTGTTGTAAGATGATAACATAATATATTCAGTAGAAGTAAAATAAACACAGAATGATGATGAGTATAGAATAGTAATCATGATAAGTTGAGAATGAAGTATCAACTATATGAATTTCATAAACGAGTAAGAAGAAAATAATGAGTTGGAGGGGGGGGATTAAGACTTAATAAAGGAAAATCTCAGATAAATAAATTATTTCAAACTCTATAATACTTTACTAAGTAGTTTAGTAATATTACAATTCATAAATATTTTATAATATTATAAATATTTGGAGGATGGGGTGGCCGAGCGGGCTAACGCGTATTCACAGCTCCGTGCGTTGCCCAGCAACCTGATAACCGAAGTTTTGAAATAAATAAATAAATACAAGTTCAAATCCTGTTGCCTGGTGGGATTTTTATCTCGGAATAATTCCCCAGCCCGAGAAAAACACCGTTTAGCCTAAAAGACAAGGAAGGGAGACCAAAAAAAAAAAAAGATCATAAATATTTTTATATAAAATACAATATATACATATAACAATTTTAAAAAATTATGTTTCTTGGATTTTTGGTAAACTTTTTGTATTATATTATTTTTTATTTTCTATAAAATTATTTAGGCAGTGCATCAAGGCAACCCCCGCTTCCCTGCATATGTCCATAGAAATTTGAATGATACAAGTAAATTTGATTTACTTGTAGTTACTATTAAACTTTATCAATAGTATAAAACAGCACATTTTAATTATCCTCTCATAAATTATTTGTTAACTCTTAAAAATGAGAAGGAACTATATTTATAATAGGGTTAGAGAAAAGTTATTAATATATGACAAATGGTGAAATAGAAATTTTAAGCTTATTGTTGCAATGGTATAATCTACTATTGGTTGGACCTACTAATGATAGAACCTACTTCAGTATTTAGAATAACATGTCATTATTTGGCTCTTGTTATTAAAATATATTGCTAACTTTCTTTCATGACAACATTTTTCACACTTTTTTATCCCCTTAAATCATTCTATTTCTATTCAAAATCCAATTATTTTTTTAACAGATACTTGTAAATGTTTATAAACAACTTATCTTGCATTATAGTTGACAATAAGAGAATTCGTAATGAGTACATACCTGTCAGCTTTAGCCTCTTTTATTTCTCTGAAGGTGTAGAAATTGTCATTATTAAGAAATTCCAAACTCATTAAATGACTAGAAAGAAGTATTAAAAGATTTGAGAGAAAAATTACGATTACCAGAGTGATCTGGGATCAGAGTACTTACACATGAAGGAAAATGACCAATAAAGAGCTGTTTACAGAAACTGGTCTAGCAATATCTCATGATATGAAGGCAAGGAGGTTAAGATGGGGAAGGGCATGTAGCTTGGAGCAGTCCATCAGAAATCCTCAATACAACTATGAAAGCCTCAATGGTAGGCAAAAAGACCATCTGGAAGGTCAAAAACAAGATGAATAGATCGAATAAACTAAGATGCAATAGAGCTGCATCAGATAACTTAAAAGAAATAGCCCAAGATAGGCAGATGATTAAGGCAGCAAAAGATCTACAAGGTCTGTTATTAGAGGAACAAAGGTTACTTAAGAAATAGGAATCTTTATGGAACAAAAAAAAAAAAAAATACAAGAAACCAGACTTTAATAAAAAAAAAACCTGCATCTCTACAATTCATGGAGGGCTCGAGTTCATTTCTTTATAAGGGAGTACTACTTCTTGGTCAATGGTTGTGCAAAGAGGTGGTCTGACAGGTTTCCCTCTTAAATTGATTATTTAATTAATAATACATACTTTATGTGCCCCAGGAGGGTCTCCCAACCCCAGGGTTAATCCACGGTTGATTTAGCAGAATAAATAATTACTTGCCACAGCCAGATTCAAACCCAGGAATTGAAGCATATGAGCACGGTGCCTTACTCACTGAGCTACCTTGCTTCTATCGATTATTTAATAATAATTTAAAATATAGTAATATACAAGGGGCAGTGGATCAGGCATTGACTTCCAAAGCTCAAGATCCTAGATCCTGGCTGATGGCAGGTAATTATTTATCCTGTGACGTCAGCCGTGGATTGACCCTGGGAAAAGAGGGAGGCCCTCATGTGGCACATCCTTCATCTATAAAGTTGGCACTCTTAATTAAATAATTAATTAAGCTAGAAAACTTGGTGGTTGAATGTGATCTCAGTCCAATCACCTCCCTCCACATCAGTTGAACTTAAAACAATACTTCTCGATGAACAGCTTTCTCGAGCAAAACCATCTCCTCAGTCCTTTACAATCTGGTTTCCGTTCCCATTATGCCATCCAGTCTGCATTGCTAAGGATTACCCAAGGCCTCCAATCCGCTATAGATAAACAGAAAATCTCCATCCTAGTTCTTTTTTACTTTTCCAAAGCGTTTGATTCCATTAATCATGAGATCCTTCTTTCCAAACTCCGAAGCCTGCCCATATCAAATAGTGTCCTAAAATGGTTCCTCTCCTTCTTATCTAATTGATCTCAGACAGTTACAATTCCGAACAAACCTACATCATCACCCCTTCAATTAACACGAGGTGTTCCTCAGGGTTCCTCACTCTCCCCGATCCTTTTCTCTATCTATATTAGTGACCTTCCTGACGCCATTCAACACTCCAGTTACCACCTATATGCCGATGATTTCCAAATATACCAATCATTCCAACCTTCTGATATGCCTGAGGCTGCCCGAAGGCTACAAGAGGACATCGACTGCATCAACAGATGGGCAGAAATAAATGAATTAAAGCTGAATGCAGATAAAACCAAGGCTATTCTCATCGGGTCCAGACATCTTATTAGTTTCCTTCCTTACTTTCCTCTACTTAACCTCAATAACTGTCCCATCCATTTTTTCCCTACAGTCAAAAACCTAGGAGTAACCTTTGACCAGAACCTCTTCTGGAATAACCATATCTCCCAGATTACCTGAAAATTCATAACTACCCTTAAACAACTCCAAAGATTCCATGATTGTATTCCTCTAAAAACCAGACAGCTCCTTGTAACCTCCCTTGTATTCCCCCACTTCGACTACGGCTGTTTGGTGTATGGAGGACTATCTGCCAGGCTGGAAATGAGACTAAAGAGACTCATGAATTGTTTCATAAGATACATTTTCGGAATCCCCAGGCGTTAACATGTTTCACTCTGGTATACCAAGTTGAAGTGGCTTTATCCTAATTCCCGACAACAATTCCTCCTTGGTGTTTTCCTTTTCCAAGTCTTCAGAACCAAAAACCCTCCCTACATCCTGGAACTCTTTACTCTACCCTCCTCTATCCACTCTCTGAATACTAGGTCTCAACGTATAGACTTATATATTCCCTCCCATAAAACTTTCTCCTTCAGTAAATCCTTCGTCATTCGTGCTGCTTCCTTATGGAACTCACTTCCTACCTCCATGCATCAATCCTCATCCACAAATTCCTTCAAACAACTCCTGTTCCAACACCTACTCCACATTCAAACTTCCCCTAACATTTAAAATTACTTGCATCTGTACACTGTTTAATTTCAATCTATTGCATTAGTTTGTATTTTTATTATTATGTCAGACTAAGACCCATAAATTTGTAACTCTGTTATTATTCTTAGGGGACAGTAGTCCCAGAATAAAATTATTTTTTCATTCATTCATTCATACTTCCTTACAAAGTACTGAACCCAAGACTTTGTGGGACAAAAGATGAAACTATTCAAGCTTGTGCTGTGAAGTAGTTCACAGTGGAATGAAAATTACAACTAGTTTACATCCTCAGCATTTACAGTTTCAGTCGATTAAAGATGGTACACTTTTAAACTAAAGATGATTGAATTTTTTCAGATATAGAATAATACCACAGCAAGCTCACCTTATTCTACTTTAAAAAGAACTGAATATTAATAACTTAGCGGAAACAAGAAGCTTTTTTTTTAATAGACAGTCCATTGAAACATAAGCTAATATAATAATCATATGTGAGAGAGTAGGGAAAATATTTATTTTAATTTTTATTTATGATATTCACAACTGTATTAATATAAATACATTAAGTAAATGTGTACACAGAAATATAATCACATGAAAACTCTTGTTGAGAAATTACCCACTCTGGTAGCACTATAATGGAAAATATTTAAAAATATATTTTATAGTATTATATTTAGTGTCTTTCAGAGTTTACACCTAAATATCTTCAAGATTACTCATCCACAACCTTTCTGTCTTATTTTTTAACTTATCATCTTTATCAGTAGCAGTAATTTATAGATGACAAAATATAATAGAAATGAGACTAGTTGGCTAATGATAAAAATGTTTAATTCTTAATTTTATTTATTTTTATGATTAATGTAATTAAAAAGGATGTAAAATAGTTATTATTGTGATATTCAAGAAGTTTTAATTATGGCAATTTAACCCTGAAAAGCTAATAAGTATGAAAATAAATTTATATTGTTTATTTATTTTCTTAGATGTTCTTGGTTCTGCTAAAGGATGGTCAGCATGCTTATTATTCAATGAATTTCTAAGAGTACAATTCACAGCTTTTAAAAATCGCCCTGATACATTTAGTTTAGGAGTTTGCAATGGTTGTCAACTAATGAGTTTATTGGGATGGATAGGCTCAGATAAAACTGATTCTGATCGTAAGTTATTTACATGTATATGTATTATATAAACGTATTGTAGTGATTAATGTTTAGGTGGAATTTAAATAAATGATGTTGGTAATTTTATATAAATTTTTAGTAGAAAGGCGAGATCGATTGAAGTAAAGTATAGAATATTTTTAAAATTATGTTTTGGGTAATTATGTAAAAATGAAATTTCATTTAAAATTAAATTAAATATACTTTTTATTTTTATTTTTATTATTTTAAGTCAAGGATAGTTTTGTTTTAAAGAAAAACTGAGAATGTTAAATTGAAGGAAATATAAAAACAAGTATGTCGTGAAACAAGTGTTATGAAAACATGTGAAAGTGAAATTTTTAGACATATTAAGAAATAAATTACAACAAAACTAAATTTCCTACATTAAAATAATTAAAATTTAAACTGAGGATTAAAATATTTAAAACGATTGTGTACAAGGGAAAAAAAGAGCAATATAAGAAAAACTATTTTGTATTTTGTATTTTAAAGACACAAATCCACCATAGCCAGTCCCAAGCCCGATTGAGAAAGCAGGAGGGTCCCTTCTCTGTAGCCTGAAGGGATGCAATAAATACTTGGTTTATTATGATCACCCTTTCTCAGGGAAGCTGTTTATTCACTGTTTGCCGCTTATAGATCCAATGATCATGCAAAGGCTTTAGAAAAGACTCATTCTTTGAAATGCTGCAGTAAGAGCCAGGGCAAAATGAAAAATCCATCATTGACTAATCCCAACTAATCAAATAAAAAATATAATTAAGGTCAGGATCATGAGGAAACCAGAAATTGGCAATTATTGCATGGTATTGAAAATGGAAATTGTCCTATGTAATAAGCCACAGAGAAGAAGAAAAGAAATAATGCAGGATGGTTCTAAAATAAACACTTATAAGCTGAAAGACCAAGAAACCACAAAAGCTTATCAAAAGGCAATAGAAGAAAAATCTGTATCTAGAAATTACCCTTGGGATTCTGATAATATGGAAGTAAAATGAAGCACTTTCAAGAAAATAACATTGGAGGCTGCAAAAAAAAAAAGGTGGGTTTAAGAGTCAAACAGAGGTAAAATTAAACAAATAACAGAGTTGCAGTGGAGTGGGTGCCAGGCCATTCTGGCATACCGGGCAACGAGATGGCTGATGGGCAAGCCAGGTTGGGCTCAGATACTATTCCTATAACTCCCGAGCCTGTCTGTGGAATCAGCCTTAGTACTGCCAAGGGCAGGATCAGGGAGATCTATGGGAACAAATTTAGGAATTACTGGCCCGACAAGAAACAGAGACACTCGAAGCTGTTCCTTAAAGGCCCATGTAAAAAAAGAAGTGAACAGCTACTGAACATGGACAGAGCAGCTCTTAAAAAACTCACAGCGATCTACACAGGTCACTGTAAGTTAAATAATCATATGTTCAATCTCCGAGTAATGACGAATCCGCTATGCAGACTCTGTCAGGAGGAGAATGAAACAGCTTTTCACATCATATGCAGATGTGACAAGTTTACAAGGCTGAGACTGGCGTTATTTGGGGAGGAACAGATGGATCTCCCCAGTAGATTTGAGTCGGTTAACCCAACCAGCCTACTTAGATACGCGGAAGCGACAGGACTAACGTTTTGAATAAGACGACCTAGCGAATATTGGCGCACAATGGACCCAAAGGGGTCGACGTGCTTAAAGCCAACATTAAAAAAAAAAAAAAAAAATATAATGGAAGGAATCTTTTAGTTCTAATACCAAAGCAGATTATAAGAAGTATAAAGAGCAACAGAAGAACGTAAAGAAACTGTCTTACATTCTAAATGGATAGCATTAGAAAATTTTGGGAGAAAGTTAGAAAGGAACTTCTAATACAACCAGATGCTCTTGTATTGAATGCTAAGAAGAATGTAAAGAGAAAAGGAACCTGCCCTGAAGCGCTTAAAAGACAAGCAGGAAAATATTCTTGCATCCCAGGAAGAAGTGATGGAGAAATGGACAGAATAGTTCAAGGAATTATTGAGAGAGAACACAGAGAAACTATTTGGGAGCAATTCTATAAACCTCCAATTAAACTTCTGTATTCTTCAAGAAGAGCTAATGAAAATAAATATGGTAATAAATTTAGAGTAAACCAAATTTATGTGGATAGGAAGAAAAACCAATCATTCAGACAGAATATTAAGGATTAATGGAGTGGAAATAGAACAGATGAGCTACTATAAATATCTTGGATCCCGTCTTAATGAGTATGGATGTGTGCCCTGATTACTGGCTTCCTACGAAAGAAAGAAATTTCAAAACATACCAAGGAGGTTATCTATAAAAACACATTCATACTGAAACTGGCACATGTAAGCAATCTTGGACCCTCACAATTAAACACAAGTGTCAGATCCAAGCAATGAAAATGAGATACTTTAGGAATGTGGATGGAAAGATAAGATGGGGCCATGTGAGAAACACTATGATTAGAGCAAGTCTCGAAACGAAACCTATTGGGGAAATATTGGAAGAGCATTGCTTGAGGTGGTTTCGGGCAAGTGCCTCAAATGTCTGAGAATCATATCACCAGAGCTATCTATGAAGCTATCATAGAAGGAAAAAGACCCAAGAAGACTTGGTATGGAGGTTTTAAAGAGGCCTTTGACAAGAGAGGTCTAGAATGGAAGAGGAGCAAACAGCTGGTTCAGGACTAGGATTTATGGATTAAGCTCTATCGAAAGACACTTTCACTGCACTGTGGTAGGAGATGGGAGACCAAGAAGAAGAAGAAGAAATATTTAAAACAAAGGTGTACATGGGATAAAAAGGAATATAAGAAAAACTATTTTGTATATGTAGCTTTAAAGCAGAAAATATGAGTGCTTGATGAGTTGTGCTGTCAGTCAAGTTTAAGACCCAATGAAGTAAAGATGGCTGTCTTTTGTTGATGGATCTAGTTAGAGTTGAATTAGACATCAAAGTTAAATTCCAGGTACAGCCAAGTCAGACCAAGATCAGCACTAGTGCATCAGTGAAAGAAAGACTTATGAAGAAACAAAAAGTAGTGTGTCTTATCATATGAACAATTTATTTTTAACAAATAATAAAATAACATACAGCTATGGTTGTAAATATAATTAAGTATTAATCGCAAACACTGCATAAATACTAAATCAAGATGCCCTCTTTTTATCTTTTATTTCATATCTAAAGTCAAAATTTCTTCATTTTAATCCAAATTTCAAAAACTCCTAATTATGTTTTTTCTAAAGTACAGTTTTGAGTGAATCTTGAATTTTAATGCATTTATTATTTTTGGGTAGTTTGTAGAACCAAAAAAGTATTCACTATAGTGAGTTTTCTGAGTCCTTTTTTTGGTTCTTTAATCAACAAACAGATAATAAATGCGTCAAACTTCTATATTTATTTAAACTTTTTTACTTAGAAATAGTAATGAGGAGGTTTCAGAATTAGTATCATTATATATATTTTTAAGATATTGCTGAATTATTTTAAGACTCTTTTGTATTAATATTTTCTTGTTTTATATTTTAATTGTATACATTGATATTTTTATTGTACTTGACAGAATGCGTCTCTAAAATGAAGCCCAGTGTTTTCTTGGCTCCTAACCTTTCTGACAGATACGAGTGCCGGTTTGTTAATGTAAAGTTTGAAAAGTGTCCTGCTATAATGTGCAAAAATATGGAAGGCAGTGTATTTGGAGTATGGATTGCTCATGGTGAAGGTAATTTTTCCATTTAAATTTTAAATATTTAGTAACCAACAGTCATTATAAAATAATTAATATTTATTTTAAGAAAAAAACTTTTGATCCCTTTATCTTATATCACAATCTTATTCAGATCTCTTGCTATATCTTCACACACATCAACATTCCTAAATATATTTCATAAACAAATCTTTACTCGGTAGCTATTGAAGGTATCAATATTTTGTTTATTTTTATTTTGTTTATTAGCTAAACATTGTCAATCAATATCTATTCCCGGGTCTTACTTACCCTCTCCAAACTGCACCCCTCACAAAGCTGCGTTCTGCCATTACTTGACGGCATTGACACAATGATTCGCAGGAGTGTGAAGGCTATTTGTCAGACTCTCTACGAACACTTCCATGGCGAAGTTATACGCTCACAGGAGGTATCGAGAATTAATATTAATCCACTGCCAATGGGAGGCTTCTCTACAACATTGGTCCACTGCTCAGCAACTGTCCAATGTGCCGAGAGATTGGGAGTTGATTGGGGTATTCGGAATATCAGAGCTCTACGGCAGTCGCTTCAAGAAAATTCATTTGAGGAATGGACAATTGCAGGTGGCAGGGCATTGGAGTTCGCCATTTTAAAAAGACCCCGAAAGCGAATAAATACATGTACGATAAGCAAGTACTTTTTGGGTCTGAATGTTCAAATGCCCTGAAGCTCAATATTAATTATGCACCCCTGCGTGGAGTCACAGGTGTCAGCGGACAGGTCAGAGAAGTTGGATCCCTCTGTCATCTCATTTGCCAGAAACACCAGCACATGTGCTTGGAAAATGGCCCAACAACTTTCTCCTTATAACACGTCGTCATCACCGAGTCCACAATGAACTGATGAGGCTCTTTAAAGAGAGAGATTACGCCGGTTTCGAGGAAGTATATTGTATAGATACGGATGGATCCACCCCATATGCTGACATTGTAGCATTCTCTAAGACGGGAAAGTCGGCAATGATTTTGAATCCAACCGTGAGATATGAGACGAATGACCTCGATCAGGCAGGCAAAGTGGAAAGGGAGAAAAAACAGACGTATGAGAAATGCATCCCTTTCCTTAGTGAAAAGTTCTGCGAGGGTTTCGGGCCGAGAGAGTTCCACGTGAGAGGCCTTTGGTTTGGAGCTCGCGGAACGATACCAAGATCAACAAGGAGCTTCATGGAAGGCCTTGGTGTCGACATAAAGGACGTGGCAAGGTTGGGAATCATCCACCACCATGTGCATGGGAACTGATAGGGAGAGAGTTTGTTCGAGGTGGGGAGGCATGCGTTTGTTACAGCATCTTTATATTATTTATTGGACACGTCCACTGTACTTTATGTATTTATATGCATTTTATGAATTAGGTTAGGAAGAGGGAGGAGAGAATATGAGCAATAGGAACAATGTATAAGGGGAGAGAAGGAAGAGAAAGGGATTAAGAGTGCTAATAAATGAATGAAAGAAATTGTAAAAAAAAAATGGAATAAAATAAAATTAAAAAAAGGGAAAAATATTTAAAAAAATAATAATACATATGTAAATATAAAATATTGTATAGTATGCTCATACATATTATTAATCCTATATAATTGTATATTAGTTTTAAAAAATTGTCTGTAGTGATTAATAAGTACGCTGTGTTTAAAGCAACCCAATGTAATTGGGCAGCATCCTTTTATGATAATGAAGTTTTTCTCTCTCATTTTTTATTGAATCTATCTATTCCTCTTGCTCCATTGATTTGATGTGAAATGCCTTTTATGTTATCTCTTTACATTTGTTTATCATTTCATACATCTCTTGCACCTAATTTTTAATGCCTAACTGATTCATGGATTAAATGAGATTTTTTTTTTTTTAATATCTTTTATTGATAAATAATACACTTTGTCACACTTAAGGGTACTGAGTACTAAAGCTGAGAGAGCATTCATACTATTTATACACTACAATAAATAAATAAAAAAATATATATATCTACATAACAAAGACAAAAACTATAATAAAACCAAGAAAATGTAACTTGAAGTTAAAATTAAATAAAATACAGAAATTTGTAGCATTATTAAATAAATTATAAGTAAAAGAAATAGATAGATAAAAAAGCATTCATACTTGAATACAATATTTTCAATCAGCTAAGGGAGCTCTGAGTCTAGCTCTTTCCCCCATGTGGGAAGGACAAAGTGAGACTCTAAGAGATTCCAGTGCTTCTCTTTAAGCCGCCATTAGAGTCCAGTGGAGATTGAGAGAGGGCACTAAAGGCACAGACGATCACGACTTGAGTGGAGAAGCTGGCCATTGCCAGAACTCCAGTGATATATTTACAAAAGATCTCCAGGCCACTGCCGTTTCAACCTTCGAGGAGGATTGTAGGGATTACTGAAGCTTGATGAGGATTGTACTAAGAAATTAGGATGGTGGATTAGGTTCAGGTGAAAATTTGAGAATCGGGATGAAATAACGTCAAGGACATAAGGGATATAAAAGTCATGATTTAATGTTTTGTTCCTCACATAATAAGGAGCATTGAATGGCTTTAGAAGCATACAAAGGGCTTTAGACTGGAATTGATTGGATGCGTTTAATGTTTGAAAATTTAGTTTTCACATTTCAAGTCCATAGGTCCAGATGGGTTTCAGTACGGTCTTGTATGTTAATAGTTTGTTTTCAATTGATAGATTGGATTTTCTGTTAAGTAGACTGTATAACTGGCCAAATCATCGGTTAAGTTCTTGTCTTTTAAGTTTGGTATGTGGGTTCCATGTTAGTCTTTTTTCTAAAAGGAATTCAAGGTACCGAACTGTGTCTGAAATGGGAAGAGGTAAAGAGTTGAAAAGGATAGGTGAACAGGATCTGCGTCGGAGTAAACATGACATGCTTGCATTTGGATTCGTTGATTTTGATGCGCCAGTTGTTGCACCACTGCTCAATTAAGCAGATGTGTCTTTGTTGGTTTAAGGATGCTATTTCAGGATCTGAGTTGGATGACAGGATGGCGGTATCGTCAGTGAATGTTGCTAGAAGGGTATCAGTATTGGTTGGAATGTCAGCAGTGAAGAGGATGTAGAGAACTGGGTATAAGACACTGTCTTCTGGAACACCAGCCTCAACTGGATAATAATTGAAGAATTGAATGCCGCAGCGGACTTGAAAGGTAGGATTTGAGGACTAGGTACAAGGATTGGAGTAAATGGTTTTCGAGCTTGAAAAGCAAGCCATTATGCCACACCTGATCGAAAGCTTGCTCTACATCCAGAAAGGCACCAGTGCAATATTTCTTGTTTTCAAGCACAGAGGATATATGGTCAATAACGCGAAGGCCTTGTTGAACAGTGGAATGTCTTGAGTGGGATCCAAACTGATGGGAAGGGATATTGTGGGTTTTGAGTATGGGTAGAATGTGTTTGAGAAGGATTTTTAATCCTGAAATTAGTGAGTTAATGAGAGAGATGTTTTCAGAAGGCATATCAGACATACCTGTATTCCTGGTAATTATACAATTTCCTATGAAAGAATTCCCTGACAAAAATGCTACAGTTGACTGCAAAAAGGGATTTAAGAAGTAATAACAAAATTTAAAAAATTCTACTTCACTATCATAAAGAACTATTATTGAGTGGTATCCAAATCATCAACTGATTGTCTAGAATTGTGTGACATTTTCAAAATATGCCTAAGAAAGAAAAAAAATAAGAAAATAAAGGATGATGCCAGTGGGAGCCATCATAAGAACTCTAGCTATTGTGTTGTCTGGAAAATAATGCAGGTGTTTGTGCAAGGATAGATCCCATCCCAATTCTCTCGTTACGATGAGTGGTGGGGGAAAATCAGAAGATTTAAAAGATAAAATTTAATCCATACTACCTCACGGTACGACTGCAGCATTCTAGACCAAATATCCACGGAGACAACACCTGCACTTGAGGGCCCTCAGGTAACCAATGTCTTAAGCCAGTATAAAAATGGTAAGCTGTTTTTGCACAATTCGTATAACCTACCAATTCTTAAAATACAGTCCATTGCATAAATAAGTAGAATGTTGCCAATTTTTAACTCATGAGAGTTATTTGACTTGCCTTAATTAAAATTTGGAAAGTTGCCTAAACAGCAGGATTTTGAGTTTTCTTTAAAATACCCCTTTATATAATAAACTGTTTACGTTTACTGGATTATTCATTTGTATGAATATTAAAACTTAATAATCCTCTTTCAAATAATAATGTTTGTTTATCTCTGTAGCATTTTGCTGCTTAGAAATAATTCGTTCTTTACTAAGATGTCTACGCGTGATTTTTGTAAAATTTTGTTTTACGAGTTTAAACTAGGCTGGAATAGGACCCAGACGGCCAGAAACATCAATCAAGTCTGTGGCGAGAGCAGCATTAGTGAGTGCACAGTTCAACGGTGGTTCAAAAAATTTTATGAGGGAGACTTCAGGCTTGAAGACAAAGAAGGTCATGGAAGGACTTTCTCTCTTGATGACGTTGTTTTTCGGGCTTTGGTGGAAGAAAATCACCGAACAACTGTTCGAGAACTTGCAGGGAAACTTAACCTTAGCAAATGGACCGTCGATGACCACCTCAAGGCGATTGGAAAGGTAAAAAAGCATGAAAGTTAGGTTCCACAAACATTAAATGATTGCCAAAAGACTATCATTATGAAAAGTTTGTGCTACACTTCTTTGCCGAAACAAAAACGAAGCTTTTCTATCCAGAATTGTTACTTGTGATGAAAAAGGGATACTTTATGGTAACAGTAGATGTTCTGGACAGTGGCTCAACAAAGGAGAAGCAGCAGAACATTTTCCAAAGCCCCCAACTCATCTAAAAAAAAAGTGATGGTTACTGTTTCGTGGGCTTGATTTGATCTCATACACTACAGCTTCTTAAATCCTAAAGAAACCATCAATACCGAATCGTATTGTAGCCAAATTAATGCAATGTATCAGAAATTAGCAATAATGGAACAATCTTTGGTCAATCGGAAGGGGCCCATTTTGTTGCATGACAACATCCAGCCACATATCTCACGTATGATGTCACAAAAAACTGTTGGAGCTTGAATATTAAACTCTGCCACATTTGTTGCCCTACTCTCCGGACCTCTAGCTTATGGATTATCATTTTTTTTTTTTTAGACACCTTGACCACTATTTACGTGACAAAAAATTTAATGGATTAAGGGAATTAGAAAATGCGTTTTTGGAGTTTATCAATTCTAAAGATGGGAAATTCTACTCCGAGGGAATGGAAAAGTTGCTGACATATTGGCAGAAATATATTGATAGTGGAGACTATTTTGATCAAATAAAACAGTTGCAAATATATCTTTTTTCTTTTTAAACCAAAATCCTGCATTATTTTTGGGACAAACGAATACAATGAGGTGTCTACTTTTCGATCATTGACATGTAGACTCCTCAGACAAGAGAACGAAGAAAAGTAAATTTTCACTGTTACAGTTGATGACTACCACCCAAAGCGATCACGTTTCTCACATATATACAACTACATCCTAAGAACTACCCATTTTCCTCTCTTATGGGAACATTCCATCATCGTCCTTTTCCTGAAACCAGCCAAAACTTTCAATAACACATCATCCTATATACCAATCAGCCTACTCCCAATCCTTTCAAAAATATTTGAAAAAATCTTATTAAAAAGAATCCTACCCATAATAGAATCACAAAACCTTCCTACACATCAATTCGGATTTCCAGCATTCCACCGTTCAACAAGGACTCCGAATTGTTGACCACATATCCTCAGCCTTAGAAAACAAAGAGTATTGCTCGGGTGTATTCCTGGACATTGAGCAAGCTTTCGACCGCGTATGGCACACCGGACTACTCTTCAAGCTCAAAACCCACCTACCCCAGTCCTTATAATTAGTATTATCTAATACTCCGATCCTACCTCTCTGACCTCTCCTTTCGAGTTCGTTATGTACAGAATTCTCCAACTGCCATTCAATTGAGGCGGGAGTTCCTCAAGGCAGCGTCTTGGGTCCTGTCCTCTATATTCTGTTTACCGCTGATATTCCTACTCATACCGAAACCCTCCTGGCAACATTCGTTGATGACACAGCCATCCTATCTTCCAATCCAGATCCTCAAACCTACAAAGTCACCTTTCTCTTATTGAACATTGGTGTAATAAGTGGCGCATCCAAGTAAATGAATCCAAATCCAAACACATTACTTTTACCCTTCGGCGCAAGTCCTGTCCACCAGTCTATTTCAAATCCATACCACTTCCTCTCTCAGACACAGCCCGGAATCTTGGCTTTCTTCTAGATAAAAGACTAACATGGAACCCACATACCAGACTTAAAAGACAACAACTTAACAGACGATACGGACAGCTATATAGACTAATGAATAGAAAATCTCAACTTTCAGTCGACAATAAACTACTAATCTACAAGACAATCCTGAAACCTATCTGGAGCACAGGCGGATCTACGGGGGGGGGGGGGGGGCTTTCGGGGTGAAGCCCCCCCAAAAATGGTAAAACATAACCATGATTTACAGAAAAAAATATTAAATACTATCTCTTATAGTATTCTTGTTCGTGTAATTATATTTAATAAGACTTCAAGAACTACTCAAACACTATTTCATATAGGTAGTTAATTTCTTTCCTTTTTTTCAAATTAATTATCGTTTTATGTATATGAAAAAAAAATCTTTCGGGCTGAAGCCCCCCAAAATTAAATTCTGGATCCGCTAGTGATCTGGAGCTACGGACTAGAGCTGTGGGATTCTACAAAACCTTCTAACATTAAGCGCATTCAATCCTTTCAGTCTAAAGTCCTCCAAACAATAGTCAATGCTCCCTTCTATGTAACCAATAAAACCCTCCATATTGACCTTCATATCCCATTTGTTATTGATCTAATCCCAGACAAATTTTCCAAATTTCACTAGAAACTCACTCATCATCCAAATCCTCTAGCACAATCCCTATCTAGCTCCATCCATCCCTACAATCCTCGCCGGAGGTTAAAACGGTAGTGGTCCCGCGACCTTTTGTAAATATGTATGTATTGGAGTACTGGCAATGGCCAGATTCTCCACTCAAGTCCTGAGCGTCTGTTGCTCTAGTACTCTCCATCAGTCTCCTCTGGCTTGCAATACCAGTGACGCGGCTGGGAGAGAAGCACTGGGATCTCCTGGGGTCCTGCCTTGGCTTCCACATTTGGGGAACAAATCATGATTCAGAATCCTCTGGGCGAATGTAAATATTGTATATAGGTGTGAATGTGTTTTATATATTTCAATTTCATTTAGCTTCTCTCTCTCTTTTTTTTTTTTTTATCTATGTATGTTAATTTTCTTATTTTACTTTCTACAACTCTTTTTCTTTTATCTCTATTTTATTTATCATTTGTATGTATATATTGTGTGAATGTTTAATGTAGCCTTAATATTAATGCCCTCCAATGCGGCAGAATGTATTAATTTTCAAAAAAAAAAACAGTTGATGAGGATATTACAGCAAATATCATACTTTCCGATGGTTTTCTTGTTTCCTATTACTAACTGTCTTTCTAAAATTTGTGAAGTGAGGAAGTGTATTTCTTCCGCACTAAATATTTATTAAGTTGTCACCCATCGATAACTATAAAACAATGATGTAAATTGAAACAGTCCCGTTACATACTTAATCCTCAATCAATATAAATATAAATATTGTTCACAATACAAATATAGGTAAAAATAAATGTCCATTTTGAATTTTTTTTTAGCCTACCTCTAATTTTCAGAAAGTAGTTTGAACCAAGAAATTTCATTTCCCTATAGTTTATATTTTAGAAGTATAACTTCAAAAATAACAATTATAACTTTTCTTATCGCTTAAATATAATTTCTAGTGAGTAAGGAATAAGGAAGGTACCTTTATCTCCACCAACTGTCTTAACATTGAAATTGGAGGGAACTTGAAAGACTTTGATCTCAAGTAGTGAGGGATAGGGAAGTATGAGGAATGATTATGCATACCATCCTAAGAAAAGGATTTTGTATTGATGAACTAAAAAAATAAATAATATTTTTATGATTTTTCTGCATGTAGCTTCCCTCATCACTAGAGCTCAGATTTTTGTGTCATTGCACATTTGTTCTGCAGGCTTCAAATTGATTGAGAACAATATGTTTTCATGAATTATGGCCTCCTGATTATATAATTAATTTTATATAGCATGCAATAATAAATTTTAAACTTTTTTATGTGCGTTTTTTTCTATACTTTTTTATTAGTGAAAAAAGTGCAATTTTTACATAATTTTTAGTTGTTTTTTTTAGTAAGTTTGTTTAAAGTAAGAATATTTTTTATACAAGTAAAAAAGAAGCATTTGTGAGCAGAATCTAGAGCAGATGCAGCAATAGGAGAGGGAACCCTTAGAGATGGGTTCATTCACCTTCCATCATATTGATTAGTTCAAGTATTTGGTGTCAGTGATAATCCCTGGGAACAGAATTCCTATAGAAACCAGTCAGTGTCAATGGATTTTATTTTGTTGAACACCTTAAAAGCTCACCATTATCCTTCTCTATGTAGTGTCAGTTATATAGGACGATCATCAGACCTTTCCTAACATATGGCTGGTAGTCGACGCCTCGTGTTATAGTTAGTTATAAAATCATATATTTTTCTGTCTTCATGATTAGTTTTATTCATGAATGTATTTAAAATTTAAGTAAAATTAAAAATTTGTTCATAAGAATTTGTACTACAGTATTTGCCTGATATAATGTTTTACATTGAATATTTAATAGTTGACCGTTGCATTATAAAGGAAGGAGATGGTCCGGGGTGGTGGTCATAAATAGGCTAAATAGTGGTAATAAAAATAGTTTTATTACCACTATTTAGCCTATTTATGACCGCCACCCCGGACCATCTCCTTCCTTTATAATGTTTTACAGCTTATCATTTTATAATACATAATAAAAAAGGATTTTTTGCATTACTATATCTGTGAAAACATAGTGTGGACTGGTTTTATGTTCTATCCATTTTTAATAAAAAAGTAAATTATTCATTTATCCATAGTAAGGAAAATTAAAAAATTTGATCATATTTTTATTTTTAATGAAAGAGATATTAATGATGTTCCAATGACTTCAGAAATCATTTAGATTTAATTCAATTATATTACAAATCATGTATTTAACTCTATTGATGATCTACAATTTGTTGGTAAGTCTGAAACAAATTATTAATTAAGTAGCATGATGAAATGTATGTTTCATTCACCCTGGCCAATTCTGACAAATAAAGCCTTAATTTATAATAAACAACCATAAAAATGGTCGATTAATTAAACAGTTATTGTATTCATTTGTTTTATTAATTATTTCAAAAGCTGATACAAGATATAAAAATATTTTTGATTTAAACTATAAACATTCATATGGGTTTTAAACTAATTTAATATATAAGAATTTCTTAATATTTCAGGACGTTTTACCTTCAAAAATGATCAAACTTTAAAATATATTGAGGACCACAATTGTGTTTCATTTCGTTATGTTGATGATGATAGTCATCCCACTGAAAATTACCCCTTAAATCCAAATGGCAGTAAAGGTATAACCAATTTTAAATATTACATTATTAAGTGTTTGTTGTTCTATATAAGTACTCAAGGATGTATTATAGTGGCTGCAACAAATACTGGTAAACCTCATTCCTTTGTGTGTATATTTGTGCACAAGTGTATGATAATGGCAGAAAATAGATTTAAATCATCTTTATTAGAATTTCGTTATAACCATGGTCAGCTGTTCAGAAAAATAAGTATAGGATGTTTAGCTAGTAACAGAGAATTTTACAAAGATTTTTTACTTAGATTTAGACCAGGGTTTAGAATAGAATACAATGGAAAACTGTGTCATATTTGGTTTGTGTTTTACATGCAAGGAGAGGTCACGGACATGGGATCATCAATTTCAGTGAAACTTATTTAGGTCGAAAAATATCAGCCCATCTCTGAGAGTTCTTGCAAATGCGTGTTTATGTATATATTGTGATATCTCTTATATTTTTTAGCTAATAATATAACTGCGGAAGATCACTTCAATACTATTGGGATACTTCCAAAATAAATAAGAGGTTGTTAAATAAAAAACAAAATTACAAGAATATTGATCTACTAAACTGAACTTTTTAATTATTGTATCTCAGGTATGGGTTACTAACAATCAGATCACAACACTCAGACCAACTACTATTAACTACATTAAACACTGTTTGACTTTAAAATAAAGTCAAGTATGAATTGGCAAGCTATCCTTTTTTCTGTATACACTGCTTCTTCCTTTCTGGCACTGAATTCATTTGTTTTTAAACACTTTCCAAAATTCCGCCAAACACACCTTCCAAAATGGTGAGACTTAAATCTGCTCAACTCAATTTCCCTAGGAGATTCTCTCATTGTGATTCCAAACTAGTTACTCTGCCAACCAACAACTGCTTGCCAAAACAAAAATATTTTGTCCCTCCCCTCTTTTGGATTTTTCTTTTTGGGGAAACTACAGAGCAACCATTTTCTTTCCCTTGAACTAATGAAACTATTGTTCAAATTTAAACATGAAATGTATGGGTTTATGTATTAACATTAGCAGAACTAGATTAGCTTGCCTTTTAACTGATCAACATTAATTTTACACCATTAGTAGTAATATTCGTCCACTAGCAGATCCAGGATTTAACTTTGGGGGGAGGGGCTTCAGCCTGGAAGCTTTTTTTCATATATAACGATAATTACTATGAAAAAAAAAGAAAGATACTGGCGTTTAAGTGATTCTTGAAGTCATATTAAATGTAATAATACGATTTTTTACCATAAAATTTGGTTTGTATCAATTGTACGTTTGTACGTTTTACCATTTTTGGGGGCCTTCGGTCCGAAAGCCCCTCCCCGTAGATCCGCCTGTGTATACGTTTGGTGAATGAATAAAATTGACTACACTAATAACATCCATCCCTTAAACGTGCTACTTCCTTTTGAAATTAGTCTCAAAATTAATAAAAAAGATTGTAATTAGCTGAAATGACGTATCCGATAAACAAACTGAGAATACAACAAAGGAGTATGGTAGTAGCTCTGTGTTGATATTTAGAGAATTTTGCAACTTTGCACGTCTGATAGACATGTGTTACCAGTTGAGGGTTAATTTGTCATTTTGCACCTGGATCACTTTCCATGAATTTTTTTTCCACCAAGTATATTTTTGCTGGTTTAAGAAAAAAATACTTAGGATTCACTTAGAGTATTATTTATATTTCACAGTATTTCTAAAATGTTTTGTAGTAAGTTTCCATCTTTTATTTATGAATACATTGTGCAGATTGTATAAATACTATTCAGCACTACACTAGCTTAAGAAACCTTTAACTACTAGTATATTCTAAATTCTATATTTTACTGCTTCTATTCAAATTCATGTTCCATGATTAAGATTAATTTATATTCACTTATGGAAAATATATTTTTTTAATCAAGTTTTTTTGAAAAAATGCACTAAATTCAAATTCATGTGTACATCAATATGACAGATTTTGGGATAGGAATATAATATATATATATATATATATATATATATTCCTATCCCGAAATGTGTCATATTGATGTATACATGAATTTGAATTTATAGTATATATATATTTTTTTTCCATTTATCAAATCTTAATATCTTTTTTTAAATATTAAAAAGAAGCTATAGTCATAATAGTAGTACAATGTTAAGAAGTTCATATATTATTTGTTAACAATTTGTCCCAAAACTACTGTTTTATATTTATCATAAATACAATTTTATTATGAGTTTAATATTCTTTTACTTTGTCTTATTTTATTCTATCAATAATTATATATTACAAACATAGTATAAATACTGTAGGTGGAATAGCTGGCATTTGCTCAGAAGATGGGAGACATTTGGCGTTAATGCCGCATCCTGAAAGGTGTGTTCTAATGTGGCAGTGGCCTTATGTACCACCTAATTTCAGGAATTTTCAAACATCACCATGGTTAAGATTGTTCCAAAATGCTTATGTTTGGGTAAATGAAAAATGTTGAAAATAAATTAAATAAAAAACCTTCACTCCATCCTCAAAAAAAAAAAAAAAACTCAAGTGGTAAAGTAATAAATTAATATTTGTATTGATTGATACAAAACTAATGAGCCATTTTTGTTATTATGATGTATTTTTAAAAATAAATATTATACCAAACCTAACAGTTGTTTATTTTATTGGACCTCCTTTTATAACATTCATAGCCCTGGAGCCAGGGCCCAAAAACCTACCTGATCGCAGGCGAAGGTTTGATTGAGAATTATGAAAGTATATGTTATTCTGAGTAAAAAGAACAGTTTCTGCCGTTCCAGAGCCGCTGCTTTAAAAAATGGTGGCTGATTAAAGAATATTAGCCCAATAATTTGAGGATCGAAATGGGAAATCCATTGCGAAAAATGTGAGAAAAGTTTTAATTTTTTCAACTTCTATATATGGGTATAGACATGTAAAAAACAAAATTGCTAATGCATGCCACCAAGGGAAAACTTTTTACAGGCAAAAAACTCAGACTTTTTCAAAATTTTTTGTTTTCTTCACCTATAACTCCTAAACGATGCATCAAAGCGAAAAATGTACTCTTTAAAAAATTGAAGAACGTTAAATGTTGCATGAAACGAGTACATTAACTTTACAATTTAGTTATGCGTTAAGGTATAAAACCATGGTCAACCAACGCTGATCTGAGCCATTTATAGTAATTTGTCTCAGTTTTTGACAAATTAGGTAGGGAGTACTCCTATCAGTAGAGAGGAAAGAATTTTTATACACTAAATGTCATGTAAAGAAAGAAACATATATAAAGAGGTGATTGTAGGCTCGAGAAAATAAAAAAATTCAATTCCACAAGAAACAGCAGAAAACTTGAGTATTTTTTTTAATTTTATATTTGTTGATGAATTTGAAACAATGGGTTAAAAACTAATAAATTAGGTAATTACATACTGCAGCATAGTAAACTACATAAAATATAATCCAAATGGAAGTATAATTTATCTTTGTTTAAAACATTCTAAGGGAATTTTAAAGTGGCTAAACTGTGTTTTTCATAAAATCAGTTATTAATTCTGATTTTTTTTATTACCCTCTAACTGAACTACTGACTGATTTTCTTCATCCACCAGCTCCTATGATGAATTTTACAACTTATTTTGCTTCCACTGGTTTATTTTTAAAAATTACAATAGCTAAATTGTAATTTAAAAAATGTCTGTATTTCTCTGGAAATACAGAAACATTTAATTACTCTGTTTCTTGTTTTTGTATTCCTGGTGTTTGGGAATGTGCCTCATCACTTTGGAGTGGGGACTGTTAGTACCCCCTTGTTGATCAGTCGTTGACTGAACTGTAAACCAAATAATTACCTGAATATATACAGTTTGCATTATATTTTTAAAAGTTGTCAACAGAAACTCTTATAACAGGAAAAAGAGATAAAGGATTCTATTTAGGGATGAAATTTGATTAAACATTGTAAAATAAATTTTAAAAAACACAGATATATGCAATTTTTTTTTAAATTTTTAATTTCATACTAGCTGAAATTAAATTTATTGTTGGTCCCTTATAAGTTTAGTTTACAAGGATACTTAAAACTAAATTAAGAAGTTTAATAACCTCATTATAAGCTGTGTCTCAACATTTTTATAACAGAGGTTAATAGTACTTTTGAAGGATCACAATGTACCATATAAATAATAAATTAAAAACAATTTAACAAAATTATTCAAATTATTTTTTAAAGGAAATCAACAACATTCAAATTCACATCAATGTGTACTAATAACTATAAAAGTATTGGTAAAATTACATAAACTGAAAAAAAAAAAAACTGCACAAAAAAGAATCGTCACCATGAGAAAACTAAGAGTTAGTACTTTAAATATAATCATATTTTAAAAACTAATTTTACAAAACAACAAAAAAAAAACTAATAAAAGAAGCAAAGGTTAGTAATAACAAATTTATTCTTAACTTAAAAAATGAAGTTATTCTGGTAAATAAAATAGCTGTTTCAAAACAATTAACTAAAATAAAATGAGAAATTCAGGTGTCTTGCAAAATAAAGAAATCTGAATCCGTAATATTGTTACAACTTAATAAAAAAGAATTTACTGCAATAACTTAAAAAAATTAAATTGAAAAGGCAAGTGAAGGGATTAATGGGATTGCAACTTGCCCAATACAATACATTTGATCAAGGGAATATATTTTTTTCAATAAAAAATGAATGGATAGAAACATGAAATTCGGTATAAATATGCTGTAATAGAACTATTTCTTTTGTGAATATTTTTCATTTATAGTTACACATACCCCTCCCCCCTCCCACACACACATCATATATTTGCAGTAAATATACAAATTAATAATAAATACCTGAGCAAACAGAATTTTAAATCTATTTTCTACCAGGAAGGCACGAAATATATCTATCATTAATACCCTTATTTTAAAAGTGACAATAGAACAGTACTCTAACTTTATTGTGACTTCCAGCTGTTACTAATGTACAAATGTAATGTATGTATAAAAAAGAAAAGAAAACAAAAATTAAACTATCAAAATATACAAATAGAATGGAGTCTTATGCTTGCTAAAGTACGTTCTTTGTATAAAAAGCCATGTAAACATACAAAACCATCCAAACATGAAATTATTAACACACATAAAAACACCACAGCCATAGATCCAATAAATTAAAAAATATACATATTTTTCTGATATGAGGTTTGCATTATAGTAAAAAAAAAAAAAAAAAAAAAAAAAGATTAAAAAGAAAGAGTGTTCAATAATAAATTTAGAATCATAACATAGTGTGAGAAAATATCTTTGTAATAGGATCATTTTTTTTTTTTTTTTCAAATGATAATCTGAACCTCTTTATTTACAGTAGTATCTTTGCATACAGAACAATAATAAAATTATGGTAATATTTGTGATGCTGTAACTAATATAGTTCAAGAAAAAAAGAAGAAATCATCTTCTTTTAGTAGTGAACTTAAATGATAAATATAAATAAATTATAAGTAGTTACACATTACAATATTTGCTAGAATAAGTACTAAATTTAAATATGAACTGTACACTTAATAATATCATTTAAAGTCTAAGAGACTATCACTTTCAGTAATTGTTTACAAAATATTGAAAATATAAAATTTAAGTCAGACTAGAACTATTGGAGTGTTGTGTAGTAATACAAGTTTTAAATACAGTTTCAGCTTTGTTAAGGTATCGGTAAGCTAACTTAGTCAAGACGACCTGATCTTTTGTTTTTCCACAAGCAACCATCTCCCATTTCACATCCACCTATAATAAAAAAAAATACAAATTAATATAAAAATCATACTTGTATCACCAGATATTCATAAGTGATAAATAGGACTTAGATTGAAAGGACTTTTTAATTTTAATTTGATTTTAACCAGAGTTCTCAACTTTTCTATTTTTGGAAAATAAGAGTAGTTTTATTTTAAGCTGTTTTTAAAATTGTACACTTAACAGCTCTATTCTGGATTTCATCATCTGAATTTGTAAAAATTAACAACTTTGTACTAACTATTAAAAAATAAAATCAATTTGATATTTAAAAGTATGCTAAAAGGTTTATTGAAAAAAAAAAAAACTTGTACCACTACAACCCATGAAGGGTCTTGGTTTCGGTACTTAATAAGAAAGTACTGTTTCAAGGCCAAGGGTTGTGCAGGGACCACGCTCATCCACCAGATTATCATCCTTAATTAATTATTGAATTAACTATGAGGCCAATTTTATTGAAATATAGCCCTCAAATTACAGATCTTAACTGTGGCATAATACTAACTCAAATTGAGTCTGTCCTTATTTAAAAATTTTTATTCAAAGTAGACAGGTAAAAGCTCTGGTGTTTTGTTTATTGGTGGATTGAGAATAATAATTATTTTTTTGATGATATATATATTTTAACATAAGCATTGATGGTTGAGCATGAAATATCAACATTATCAGATATTGAGGTTCTGAATGTTTTTGCTGAGCATCAAAACATTTGTGTTTACAGTGTTTTGGAAGACTGATATATAAATATAAATCGAATAAAGAATAAAAGAAAATCATCTGTATATTTTACCATACAACGAATAATATTTCTGAGTTGAAGCAATATCATATTTCAGTTACACGTGAAAATCTCTTTAAGAAAAAAAAAAATTGCATTATTTACTTTGATATGCAAAATGTGAAACTATTGGTTTTTAAAATACCTTATGCCCTCAATTTTGATTTACTCTTTCATAAATTTTGAAGTAATCTTTTTTCTAATTCATTCTTCAGTTAATCAAAACCACCTTGTGTTGCATAAAAATGAAATATTTATTTATGGCAACAATGACACATCTTTAAGTGACTGAATTATTAACCCAATTTAAAATTTGAATAAATTAAATACAAAAAACATACATCTATTTGAATTTTACTCAAATTTAATCCATATTTTTTCAAATAGATATTCTTGAATATAATTACACTTTAAATATAATTGGTTCTTTTCAAAATGGGAGTCATTTATTGGATAAGACAATGGTCCCAATCATTAGCCTACATACCAGGATATCTTAAATATAAACTTTTGAAAAGTATATGGAGTTTAGCTGTTTAAACTTCAAATGAACATTAGTTGCATAGCCAGTGATTTTTTTCGTTTAATTTTTGCTCATGCCTTAAAATTATCAATAAAAATTCTTCACACAAACATGTTCCACCTTTCATTCAATTTAAGCAAAGGAAAAAATTGTTAGACCAATTGTTACTCATCTTATATCATTCATCATTTACAGCATTTGATCAGAAAAATTATTCTTTTGGTGCAACGCCTATTCTTTTACTGCATTTATTATTATTAATTAGGATTATTGCAGGTTAATCTGTCACTGTAAACAATTCTTGGTAACTGCTCAATCAACTAAGCAGTGATATTTAACTGCATCAAGATGACACAAGATATTCTGCATTTGATTACTTGATAATGAAGTACAGCAGAATCATGGTTAAACAGCTCTAAAGAGTAACCGACTATAAATAGGAAAAAATAAAAACTTTCCACTAAATTAACCAGTTAAAACATTTACACTATCATTAGCATTAGATTATTCAAACTAAAAGGTCACAAACAAACAAAAGAGAAAGTTGTTTTTAATACAGCCAATTTCGATCTCTGAAGTTGTACCACTTTGGAATGACTGGACCAATGATGATAAAACTGCATACACAACTTTATTTAAAAACCTCTTAATGATTTTCCTTTCCTTCTGGTTTTTATAGTTGATAACAGATTAAATGTCAAAGGAGGATACTGTCAGGAAATAATGAAACAAACTACTCAATAATGAACAACAGATACCAGTAGATCCACCAATTCTGTTGCAAAGTTTATTAAGATTAAACGGCATGGATACTTCATGAAAATTCTGCATAGAATAAGAATGGAAGGCTCTCCAATCAGCAATCTCTACAATTTAGAAGCAAATATGGATGCAATGCATTTAACACATATTCAAACTTATTCCTTAATACTTCATAGTGTTAACCAAATTGGAATGGTACTAGACTGCTAGATCACTAATGATGTAAGCTGAAAAAGATAGGCATAACTAAAAAGAAAAAAAAAAATAACTGGAAGGTTAAATAATTTAAATTTTCTAAATTTACAATTTTTTGACAAGAATTATGTTGGAAAAACATGCAAGTACCAAATAGACTTACATCACATTTTCATAGATTTTAAAAAGGTATAAAATAGGGAAGAATTACTCAAGGCAATGATAAAATTGGGATTCCTAAAAAATTTGTCATTCTGACAAGAATGTAACTAAGCAGCAGAAGTACATCCATAGAGAAAATGAATGCTCTGTTGTCAGAGAATTTTGAGTTCAGAGACGAGGTTAGGCAAGAAGAAAAAAATGGACATACCCTATTCATTACAAAGTATCTGCTTACGCTTATGATGTAATACCAGCAAGAAATAAAACGGTGTTAGCAGGAGCTCTTGAAGATTTTGAAACAGCAAAAGAACTGGGGCTACAAATAAATGAACAGAAGACTGTTTACATGAATGAGAAAATCGAGTGCAAGAAATGAATGCGTCACAATAGGAAATCACAAAGTATTTGTGTGTGCTAATTACAAAAAATAATCAAATGGTGGAGTAACAGAAAGCAATGATAACTGGTGGAATAGACGCTATTTTTCCTTGTGATAAATACTAAACTATATACCTCTCTCCCTCTCATTGAACCAAGATCATAGTGTATGAGAAAGCTTTAAGATCCGTAATCACCTATGTTTCTGAGATCTGGGTGATTTTTGAGGCTTCAGAAAGGAAGCTACTTGTATGGGAGAAAAGGGCTCTCCATAGGATTTATGGAACAGTGTGTGAACATGGGTATTTTGGAGATTTTACATAAAGAGATGTTAAAATTTATAAAATTTTACATTTATAACAGATCGGATTTGGTCTCAATTGTGAGGAGTAAACAAGTCAGATGGATGGATCATGTAGCGCAAATGCCCAAAGACTCAATTCCCAAACATTTGCAGGAGGAATGACCTGGTGGCAGAGATTCTTCACATCTGAGATAGTTGGAAGAGATGAAGGATTTTCTGATAAGGATGAGAATCAGATGATAACCAATGATCGTCGAAAAAATGCAGGAAGATTATAAGAGAGGTCCAAGTTTTTGCAGGGCCGTAGAGTCAAACATAAATCAATAAATAATCAATTTAGGTTCACTGAGTTATTCATTAATTTCAAAGAAAATTGATGATTTGAACAATTATTCTGTGTTGTTACTGAACTATTAATTCCGAGATTAAATCACAATTATTATATCAAAAACTTAGTAAATACTAACCCCTATTCAAAATTAGAGCAGCTATTTAAATTGTGATAACCATGTAAGAAAAAAAAATCTGACCATGAATTATTAATCAGTATCCAGCCAAACATAATAAATGACCCCATTCCTAAATATTAAAAAAAAATTGAATATCTATCCCTATTCGTCATATCTAGATTAACAATTTTATAACTACCCTACAGTTATCAATTGATTTACTGTAACAGGCATTAGGTTATTATTGGCAAGATTTCAAACAAACCCTTTAGTTCTGAAATAACAGTTAATCACTAACTGGTCAATATTTGCCCTGTCCAAGCATCATTAGAACTGTTAATCATAAAAGGGAAGGGGAAGGGTATGAGAGATAGGGAGTGGAATACATGTGTATCAATGTAAAAAAGAAGTATGTTACTTTCTTTTATTTGAGTTTATTTTCATTCCTTAGTTTTTCATCAAGTAACCAGATATTATATAGAACTTCTAAATTCTCTATTTTCTATTCCATATATAATTTGCAGACCATAAGTATAAATCAAAGCAATTAGTCCTTTCAGTAAGCCATATAAGAAAACTATAAAAAGATTAAGGGATACGGTAAGCAATCTTGATGATATCTATATTCAATTTACTTTTTTTCTTTGTAAGTTTATAAGTATCTTAGTCTTTCAGTGACTGATTAGCTCTTAAGCCAGATGATCACTCCATCAGTGTTCAATTCTCTCTTTGAATCAAGGAAGTTCAGGTTATTATAAGAAATGGTATTTTGAAATATTCACCACAAATCTAATTGGTTAGTCTATATCAATCTGATTTTCAACCCTTATGAAGCCTGAACTAGGGAAACATTAACCAGTTATTTATTAATTGGTATTATAACTTTCTCCTTCACCTCAATTACAATTAATTTATTTTTTGTTAAATTTAGATTTTTTCTTTAATTATTTCTACATTATTTATTTTAAATAAGTATATTTTTTAAATATAATAAAAAGTAAAAATAAAACTTTACCTGAGGTAAGCTACGCTCTTTGGTGGAGTATCCAAAATCGATTCGCTTGACCACTGATCTTCTTGAATCGGCAAACTTGCAGCTCCTGGGTTTCTGCAGAATATAACTTTCTACATTCCATTCTACTACCAATAATCCCACAACAAAATACTACTAAAAATCAACTATAAAAAATATATGTCATTTACCAACATGCAATTACCTCTGTTGAGAAATAAGAATCAAACAGAGAAAGAATCATTTGAGATTGCATCACATTTTCTGTATATAAGTTATGCATTATTTAATGAAATCGCGTTAAAACAATATTTCAATCAACTACAAAATTTTCTTCCACACCAGAAAGGGTAAAAGAAGACAAAAATAAATGAATTTTTGGATATAGAGAAAGAGAGAGGGAGCGGAGGAGTTAGAAGGGAGAGAGGAATGTTAAGCCAACATTTTTTTTTTTTTTAAATTGGAAATTTAAGCCAAAGAAGGCAAATAGTTCTTTGTGAGGAATATTTTTTCCTGCCTTTCAATGCTCCCTTTACCAAGATTAAATAAATGAATTTAGACAAGTTGTTTGTTAATTTATTTTGTTATTTAAATGTGATATTTTAAATTTTATATTTAAAAAAAGGTTATATATAATTGATATTATATAAGGTTATATATAATACAAAATTGAATATTCAATTGTAATGGTTTTTCTATAACTTAACTCATAAAATTTATTATTTTTGTGTATGTAAAATACATAACAGACAAGATTCGACCTACAGGTATACAATGATTCATAGAAAGCTGAAATGGTTTAATAGTTGACAAAGAGTGCTCCTGTGATACAAGGCCCAACTCCATGCATATTGTTCCAGCAGTATACCATTGTTAAAGTGTTAAAATAGGAAGTTCATGACTATGACTTAAAACCTAATATCTTATTTTCACAAAATATATACTATTGTCTTGAAGCAAGTTCCCTTCATTTGTTTTTTCAAGTTAAATGTATATATAGTGAAATATAGTTATTTCTTTATAGTCACCCCATACTCATGGGGACAGAATTCAGCACGTCATCTATGAACTCTAAAACTAAGCTCCTTGATTTTGAAACAGGAAGGTGACCAAGCCCTTAACCTACCTACCACTGATCCATACGAAAAGTTAAAAGAGAAAAAGTTGGATGATCAACAGCTATCTCAGTTTCACAGAGAGATCCAACAGCTGGCTTGAGATAAGGACCCTGGGTGTATATTGGTACTGGTACTGAGAACTAGTCCAGCAAGTGGGCCCTATGGTCCTTTTCGCTAACTCCTGACCTGAGATTGTTGCCACATAATTATCAGAGTAAGAGTGCCAAGGTTCATTTCCTGGGACTGCCAAGAAATAAAAATTAACTGACACAGGCAATAAATGAACCCATTACATTCGGAACCATGCACTTGAGACCCAAGCCCCAACACGCTCAGCCATCACATTCTAGTCCCAGGGAGTATAATCAACGCTTTGGTAAATATGGGATGACTATAAAGAAATAACTATATTTCTTCCTAGTATCTAATATCCAATAGTTTAATCTAAATTTACAAATTCCAAGTTATGAGCAGTGACAAATCAATCAAAAATAATAAAACATTCCAAAAATAAAATGTCTCACTTCACTAGCCAATCAACAATCATCAGCTGGCAAGATGTTTTAATGGATTTGTCACCATAGGATATGAGAAATCCGGCTGTAAAATAATAATACAGAAAATTAATGATCAATCTTAATCATGATAACAAATATTCAAAATTAATTTTTTTATTTTAAAACTTTGAAACAGGTAGCTGACCAAGTCAGCGACATAATAGCAACTGATACATATGCAAAGGAAGGTCTTATACAAAGGCAGTTTAGGAATTCAAATTTGGGATTTGACTTTTCATATGAAACAGTCACAGGAAGGTTGTGGGCTTGGTCAGCTACCTGTTTCGAAGTTCAATAAATAAATTTTGCATATTTATAATTATACTAGAAGATTTATCATTAATTTTCTGAATTATTATTTTTCAGCTGGATTTCGCATATCTTTTGATGACAAATCCATTAATAACCTCTTGCCAACTGATGACTGTTGGTTGGCTAGTGAGCCATTTTATTTTTGGTGTGTATTACTATTTTTGATTGATTTAACACTGGTCATGACCCAGAATTTGTTAACTACCTCAAGGTTCGTAATTGGTAAACTACCTTAAGGAAATAGGGTCCCATGAAAATTAGTACAAATAATATTAAATTTTTAATTTAAATCTATATTGGTTTAAATATAACTAGGTTCTTTCCGTCAAAATAAATACATATTTATTATTTATTTAAAATATAGTTTATATAAATACATATTATAAACCATAATACTTAATCATAATAATAAATAATGATAATAATATTAAATAGTAATAATAATACTAACCATTATATAGTAATACTTTATTATAATAATAAATCTTTAATTTTTATTTGTATGTTCTCTTTGACGGCAACCCACAACATATTGTCTACATTCAACAATTTCTTAACGATTAATAAATAAATTGCATTAAATTTTAATCAAATACATTAACTATTAAATTGTATTATTTTTAAAGTTTGTTTCTAATATACAATATTTATACAGTTTTATTAGTACTTTCTTATATTTTTTCAGTGTATATTATCCATACATTAAGTATTATTTATTTAACTTTGAAGTTATTTTTTATCTATATGTTACCTACACATTATGCAAATCAATATAAATAATATTTAATTTATAATTTAAATCTAATTTTTTTTTATATGTAACTAGATTTATCCTGTCTAAATAAATGTATTTTTATGACTTATGGGAAATATAATTTATATAAGTATATAAAAAATGTACCTTATACAAAAGACTTTATAAATAATTAAAGACCAATAAATTAGATGAACTATGTATATTCAATCTGGTTGATCACGATTCCACTTAAGTCACTTTACAAGAACATACTGCAATAATATCTTGTAATATATGTATGAATTTGTAAATAAACAAAAATAATTAATCTCTCTCCCTTTCTCTCTCTCTCTCTCTCTCTCTCTCTCTCTCTCTCTCTCTCTCTCTCTCTATATATATATATATATATATATATATATATATATATATATATATTTATAAAACAGATAGAATGGTGTTTAAGAATGGATAGGGAAAAGGCATGAAAGTGAATGTTCAATCACTGGTTGAATATAATAAATAATCTCCAATTGGCACATTTTATATTCCAACACACCTGCTAGAAGGATGACAAGTTTTTCTCTCAAGTGCTCAAAAAACTATTTAAAATTTATAATGAATAAACAAAACTGGCAAAAAGGTATTCAATTCAAGCATGGTCTTAATTAACTCACGCTGTTGGTGTACAATTGATTGTACTTTTACAGCCTTGATTACCTTGATTACAGCTTTGATTTTTTAAGAAACTCTGTATTCTTCAAGACTCTGAACTTACCCATAAAGTTTCATTCTCTTATAGGAAAATTAAGAGTAATTTGAAAAATGGCTGCACAATTCATGATTATTATTCTAAAAAAAAAAGTCTTCTTATTCAATTCTTCTCATCCCTGTTTATAATAGACATTAAAAAAACTACCATTTCCTTCAATTAAGTTTTTTTGGCATTAAAACAACAAATTGCCACTACTTGTAATGAAATTAACGTCAGATCATACTAGTAGAGAATGTGGATTAGGATGGGAAGTTTATAAATTCACAATGGAGGATGTGGCCAGCAAAATATTTCGGAAATAAAACCCCTAGAACCAGGCATCTATGGTTTGATGATTCAAAGAAGGCACATCCGGAGTTCTGTTGAGGAAAATAGAAACTAAAGACGCCAGGAGAAATATCTACATGGGAGAAAGAAGAGGAAATGGAAGGCAGATGAGCTGGTGAATCTGGAAGATCTAAAAAGGAACAATGAGGTGCAGGTTCTGTCGGGGAGTGAACGACAGTAGAAAACCCTTCAAGCCTTATTTAATTACATGCAAAAACACAGATGACACTCTTCTGAATGTAAAGCAGAGTATTCTTGATTGGTGGTGTAATAACTTTATGAGTGTTCTGAACGATAGAGTTGAGGATCAACCCACACAAGAAATGTCAAGACCAGCCGAGGACCTGAAGCTACCAGATTCTGAGGACGTTTAGAAATCCGTGGAATGCTTAAAAAACAATAAGATACCGAGAGCTGATGGGCTGCCATCAGAATTGTCTAGGAATGAAGGGCAAGAGGCAGTAAATGCTCTTCACAACATTATTATAGATGTGTGGATGAGTGAGAGAATCCCAGCAGACTAGTACAAGACCATCATCTGCCCAATTCACAGGAAAGGAGATATCCTGAATTGGAGAAACTACTGGGGCATTTCACTTCTCCCGAGAATTTTGTTCTACAGGCTACTGCCCCATACAGAGAGAGAGAGAGATAGGCAAATACCAGGCTAGTTTTATGGGAGGAAAGGGCACAACAGAGCAAATGTTTTCCCTTAGGCTGATGCTGGAAAGAATGCGAGAATACTATATCCAAATCCATCACCTGTTTACAGATTTCTGGGTCGCATACAACAATGTGAAAAGGGACAATTTCTATAAAGCTATGCTCAATATAGAAGTTCCACTTAAGTTTGTGAGACTCATCCAAATCTCAGTCCCATCATCAGAGGAGACTCCATCAGTCATTGGAAGCGGTGTGGTGTTCAGTGAGCATTGACTGTGAATTCTCAGACTTATTAAACACTTACCGAGGTCTACGACAGGGTGACCGTCTTGCGTACCTCCTTTTTAATTTTTCTCTGGAAGGTGTGGTAAGGGAGTCAGGCATCCGAGTAAGAAGAATAATTCTCAATTGTTCTGCCCAAATACTGGGCTATGCAAATGATATTGATATCATTGGAAGAAATTTTAGACATGGCTGAGGCATTTGAGAACTTACACGCTTCCTAACTTAAAATTCTCATTTCTGTATATCAATTCATTTCTTTACCACCTACAAAACATTATTTGAGAGATAAATATGATCCACGTAATAATAAAAATGTCTTTAATGAG